AACGCGACGAATGCGTGTAAATAATTAGAAAGACTTTGGTTGACCAACTCGAGATTAAGTAAAAAAAAGAGCAGCTTCACAATACAATGCACTTTTTCAAACACCGCCCACGTGTGTTGAAAGCTGCGCCTTTTCTTCTCTCATTTTTTCGCTCTGCTCTGGAGCAACCCTCTCTTTTGCTTCTTAGCACACAGCGAAGAATTTTTTTCTGCTCTATAAATCTGAATGCTTGTTTGCCAGTCATGCCCAATGAATTCCCACGAAGGTTTCATTTCACCCCTTCGCCCGGCTGAAAGAAAATATCTCGCAATGAGATACATTTGATAATCATGACATTAAGAAATATTAAATGTACACGAGAGGCCAAAAGGGAGCGCATTTTGGTTTTTCCTGCTCAAGGGCACAATGCAATTCAACACCGCAAATTTTGTTTTTTGTTTCCCTAGCATATGCGACCAAATAATCCTTTGCTTTGGTTTCAGCTTCTTTTTGTATAAAAAAGACAATACGGAGGTTTTTACTGAAAGTTTATTTTACTAAAGAACGGAATGCCATGCTAAAATTTAGGATTATAAATAATTATGTAAGCAATCACAATTAAATGTAAAAATTTAGGTATTTAGTTTATTTTCAAATATTTTATACAAAAGTTTCAATGAAAAAATATTTCCCTTTTCAAATAGATTGTGTTCATAACAGCACATTAAATTAAATGATTTTAATATTTCTTGTACACATTCTATTCAGCTTTGTTGTGAGGGGCACAGAACTCGAGAACAGCCAGGAGAGCAATTTCAAAAAGACATTAGAGCCGATTGTTGGTTTTAGCCCAAGAAGCGTCGCTTTTGATGAGCCAGAACGGTGAGAACACCGTAATGGGGGTTGAACTTGAACCCCCACATCCTGCCCGTCTTAAGGGAGGCTCGAGTGTGAGTTTATTTATACGCCGAGTGCTCTCACAAATCCGCCTTTGCTTTCGAGTTAATGCACTTTTAACCGCTGCTCACCATGGCTTCAATTATATCGCGTGTTTTTTTTTCTGCACCGGAGTCAAGAAGTTTGTTTGTCGCAAGCAAACACGGCGTGCATTTAAATGACAGGGCAAAGGAGCACAAACCGCCGCGAAAAGTCATCCGTGTGAGCGAGCAAACATGCAGAGATGAAAAGCAAAAGAAAATCCACGCATATACAAAACACGTGCACATTTCCATACACACACGGCGGCCATTTATACCGAGCGAAGCCACAAACGCGAAAATTGTTTTGTATACTTGAAAAGGCCCTTTGTGCTTCGTCGTGGCCGCGTGAAATTCTATTCTCGCGACAGATCATCCGCGTCGACCTCATTGAGCAAATTTGTGACCATGTTGAAAAAAATCGGCCGCCGAGACTTGCTCGCTGGCGTTCAAAGGCTTCCTCGCCTCAAGCCAGAAAATCAATTTTGCCGTGAGTCTCCGATCACGGGGTCTGTCTAATTATTGGGGGAAACGTCTCGTCTCAAGTCGTCTGCCCTCTTTGAGCTCGGCCGCCGTCTCGCAAGTTATGCAGATCAACCTCATTTGCGGCCTCTTGGGCTTGTCATCGTGGGCAAGTCAGTTCTGCGGTGAATGTGCGGATTGACGACGTCAGCAATTAATTCTAACACGCTCTGTTCCTGAATCGTACCACAGATATGATTTTCTATGAGCAGATTTCTACTTTCAAATAGGAAAAAAATACACGCATGACTCATGCTTAAACTTCAATTTTTTTCCAATTATCTCAAGAAACCGAAAATAAATTGTATTATCAGCGAGTTATAATTTAAATTCGAAATGAGAGCCAAACAAATACAAGCTAACCGGGGTGCGGCTTTAAACCTAAGGTTTGTATAAATATAAGTTAAATAAAGGGTTCTTTTGCAACTGGAAAGTGCCGTTTTTGGCCCCAGTTTTAATTTCAGTTGGAAATACCAAATTTTAAAACCCGTTTTGAGTTTTGTGGTCATGAAATTGTCTCATGTTCCCTTTTACCGTATGATTCATTTGATCCCATGGTATTCAAATATATACAATATGAGACGGTAAAAAATTTAGCACTTGAACTTTTACTGTCACGCTTTGTTTTAAAACACAAAATGAACGGAGTGTTTAATTAAAGTTTTTGTGCAACGCCAAAGTGATTTGTTTCAATATCAGTTCAAGAGCTGTCTCGTTTTGGAGTGAGTAATTGTTGTTTTACACAAAAAGGCTTTTTACAAGAGGCTGCCAAGTGGGGCGACAAAGTACTGCCAAATGGTTTCGTAATTCGCCAACTCGGAGGCTAACGACGTTTTCCTTTGCGTTGACAATCGGCGGCATTGCTCCGCTTGCGTCACGTTCGCCTTTCCGCTTTTTCGCCAGTACTGACTGCATTTTCGCGGCGGTACAAATTTACACTCGGCCGCCGGTGAAATCCTCAAGGTCGTCCAGGTAGAGCCGATCTGCGCATCGCGCGAAAGGGAACATCACACCATCAACTGGCGCTCGCCTACTTTGCTTCATCATCGACTGAAATGAGGCTTAGCCAGGGCTTTGCTTGTGTTTACTTTTCTTCGCTTAACAATACGCCTAATTGCAAATAAATTTGTTAGAATTTGCGAGCAAAAAAATTCACATTTGATTTGAAAATGATGATTGAGTGAGGAAAAATTAATGTGAATTTAATATATATATTTTTTTTTTATTAAAAATTTGATGGTGAATATTTAAATCTCATGAAATGCTTCTTTGTGGATTTAACCATGGTGCAGAGAGATTGATGGATATTCTCAAAATCACCAAAAATTCACGCGCCGGAAACGGAAGTAAACACATTTTTAGTAAAACAGTCCACTCCAGAACTTTTGATAACATTTACAATATAATAAATTATTTTAAACAATTGCCCTTCCAATATGGATTATCAGACTTTCTCAAATCTGATCCTTATTCTAAGCAAAAGATTAACGCATGAAACCAAATCAGGGTTTAATTTCTTTTGTCTGTTCCGGTGGGGGCCAAACTTCTACTTTTAGTTGGGTGGTAACTTTATCCACGCAGGTGTGTGTATTAAATTTGAGACGCGATTTGAAAAAAGTTTCAAAAGTCGTCACACAGGACTATAGTAATTCCCAGCAGCAGCATTTAAAGTCACGAAGCGTGAATTTCTTCTCACCGCAGCTGCACGACAGATTCGTTTTTTTTTCATGTGATTTGTTCCTTCACCGACGGATGCGCGCACAAGTCTCGGATATTCAACTTATTCCGGTGCCACGTTAATAATTAAGCGCTTTGGGAGTTATTTTTCAATAAATTAATTATGTGCGGCACGAGTGGGTAGAGGTTGTATTTTGAGATCGTGAGAAGTTGATACTGAAATCGGAGGCGTCTCGCATTTTAATGAGAGGCGAGCAGCAAAATTCGCTACTTCACGGAGAAAGTCTCGATCTTCACAAATTTTCTCCGAAAACGTGCAAACTTTGCGGTCGCGAAGAGCAAATAATTACACGCCTTTCGGGTCAAAACGGCCGCATCCTCGGCAGATATCGACGGAGATAATGACGGGCTGCAGACGAATGTACCGTTTCGCCTTCAGACAAGTTGAACTTGAGACGTACGTGACAATTATTATTTCTATGATTCCGACGTTGAATTGAAGCGCATTTATTAACGCAAGTGTTACGCAGAACGGTAATAAAACCTGTCCATTGTTTTGTTTGAATAAAAATGCAGAGCACAAGTGCGGCAATGTGTCACTGGATCGATCGGTGCCAAATGCTGAGCGATCTGGCACCGACTTTTCTTTCCGTTTTAACCGTAATGAAATTTTATAAATTTTATTAACTCAGTCTGCAAATGGACCCGATCTGAAGCTGTTTAGAAACTATTGTACTTTATATTATTGAACGCACAGTTTAGAGACAATTGAGAGATGAGGCAATAATACGCCTTGCGGGAATCGCAGTTTGCGGCAAGAGAAAATTGGATGGTGATGTCAGCCACCGACTGATTTGCATGGGCGGCAACAACAGCTACAGTCCGAGAGGTCCATTATGCATCCAGGTCGGTTGGCGCGCGCGTTGGTGTGGCCCTTCCTCTCTGTTTACAATGGCCATTTAAAGCACCATTACACTCAGACCGGCCCAATGGAAATTTCGTTCAATTGGTCCGGGTTCGAATGCATTCTTGTTTTATAAGGCACATAATTATAAATCGTGGTTCGGTGCCGAGTGCAAGTAATATTTCCAGACAAATAATTAATGCACTTTCGCAGTTTTCAGTTTCTCGGTTGGTTTGCTTGGCATCTTCTCAACAAGTAAAAGTAATTGAAAGGTTAAGTAATTTTTTAAACCACATTCAAAATTATCTTTGTACTTTTTGCATTTTTCAATAGAGCTTAGGATCAGTTTATGTAAAATTTCAACATTTTAAAAATTGAATTTTCTTATTTTTTCTTTTGAAGCATTGTTTCATTGACATTTTTAGTGATGAATCTGGTATTCCTTAAAAATTTAGAAATATTAAGCCGAGATTAATATTTTATTTTTCTTTACTTCGCTGTGGAAATTTTCTTCACCTTTATTTCCTCTTTCCTACCACGAAATTATTGTATAACTGTTACGCCTGAGCATTCACTTTTTGCCGCATCACATACGTCTTCATAAGAACAAGTTGCACCGGCTGATGGAACAATTTCCTCCTCTCTTTCCAATAAAACCATCAAAGCGATCGAGTCGGCGGACCACCGCACCGAGAAGATTTTTTGTGCACCAATGATGAGATTAATCTTATCTGGCTGCCGCACTGCCGGAATGGATCCTTGGCAGGTGAGGGGAATGACCTTGTCATCGTCCTTGGTTCGAGTGATTCCCTTGCTCGACAAAAACCCCGAAGCGGCATGAATAGCAGCAGCCGGTGTCCGCCGTGCGTGATGTAAAAAAGCGAAAAAAGAAAGGGATAGATGGAAGAGGAAGAAGAAGAGAACATGCTATGCGGTCCTACCTTTATCTCGTGGTATTTCTCCTCGAGGTAGTAGGCGATGTTTCGGGCCTCCTCGTATTTCTGCGACAGCCGCAGATACTTGTCGTAGTGCCTCTTGAAGAGCACAAACCTGAAAAAGATGCAAATTAGAATAAAAATAATAATTAAATACGTTATTCATTAAAAACAATTTTTTTTATTTGAAAGTAATTTTGGGAATTTTTTTTATATAGTTTGGCCAATAAATTTTACTTTTTCATATAATAGACCCTAATTATTAACTTTTACGATTTCTTATACAGCATAAACTGAGTATTAAATAACTTTTAAATATATAATAATTATTTTATATTATGCCAAAAGTTTTGTTACTGTCCCTAGATTTTGCAATTTTAATTTATTAATTATTACATTATATCTCAGTTTTATGTGAGACTGCGGAATCAATTGTTTTTAATTTTTTTTTTTTATTAAATTAATTTGCACTTCATTAATATATCATCTGTTTGGAGTTGGCGGGCGTAACTGAATATATACTTAATTACTTAAGAAATAAATCAATAGCATTTTCTTAGAGTTAAAAATTTAAATTACTAAGTAATCAAAATTGTTGGAACTTCATATTTTATCAATTGTAATTATGTTATGTAGAAATTTTCAGATAATTATTTTATCTCCATCTCAACTCATATAATTATGATCAAAATGTAAGAAGTCGCTTTTTTTAATCTTACTTTTCAAATCCGCTCCTGCCGAGCACTTCCGGCAGGTCGTCCGAATGTTTCCCCTCGGCCAACATCCCTTGAAAATCACTTCGCGCCTACATTCCTAGACCCTTTGCGAGAGCCACCCTTGAGCAGCGCATCCGTCGGCCGAGCCGGTGCATGTGTGCCTCGGAGCAAGACCGCGACAGTCGTAGGGAAATGTGAGCGGTATTGTTTTTGCCCAGCAACGCCGACTTGCTCAATCCCAAGAGATGGTTTTTCTTTTTATTTTAGTGCGTAACCGACACCCAAGACGCACCGATGAGAACAATCGAATAACGCACGCATTGTCTTTCTCTTTCCCAGATCCAAAGATATAAACTACAAGAGCATTATTTTATTCTCAGAAAAGCTAGCAAAATAATTTATGCATCAAAAGGAATAAGCAAAGTATTAACACAAGAAAAAATTAATTAAAAGATTATGATTATTTTATTTTCTTTTTTTCTTCGCAATGAGTTTTGCCCGGTTTCATTTTTTTTACTAACGAAGAGTTAAACATTTAATCATGAATGTATTAAATTATTGGATTTTGAATTAAATTTATCTTACAATTTATCAAAAGAAGGAGACTACGTTATTTTTTTATATCCATGGTCCATAAAAAATTTTGAGCTCACGTTAAAATTGACTTTCAATGCGAGGCGATGGAAAATTTCCCGGAAATTCGAAATAAAAATAATTGAATGAATTAAATAATATTGTCACAATTCTCGTCTCGTCTTGTTTCTTTTCTTTGAACTTTCAATAAAGTTACTGATGAAAGGTCAATCTGCAAAGATCTACTTCGTTTGACGTTCTGTGACTTGTGCTTGTGCTGAATTGTTGACTTGGCGTTGCAAACAATAGAATAAAAAACAGAATCATCTGATCGCTTGTTTTCGTGTCAGACGAAATTTGCGTGTGGCACGTGTTTGCAAACGCGCTACGAGTGCAGCATCGATTTTTTCATTGAATTTATGACGCCACACACATGAGCAGTTCAGGAATTAATAAGTGTTCAATTTCTGGTCACTTTTCCCTTTAGTGACTTTAATAACATAATCATGAAAACGATTTTCGTTTTAAAATCTCTTTAGTATTATTTTTTGAACAATTCAAGACAGTCAGGAGTAAATACGTTTGTCGATGCCATTGCTGAAGATGTGGATCTTGAATTTTATGTTATGGCTGTTATCTGCGAAGATAACTCTAACGTAAGCCTGATTCTTTTTGATTGATAGATGTGGGTGAAAATAGTGTTGTAGTAGATAAACCCGGATAGTATTGCGTTGTAATTAATTCAACATGATAAAGAATGCAAAATACTATTGTACATAGAGTGAAGTAACAAAACAAGAAGTTAATAAAATTAATAAAAATGAAAGTCAATTCGTTTAAAATAAAAAATTCAATTTAAATAATTTTTAAATGTAGTAAAATTAAATTGATGCATACATAGGAAATTACAAATAATAATAAACAATTCAGAATTAAATAAAGTCGTCAATATTTTTGATATTCATCAATTTCTTATTTTCTTTTAGAATCACTTTCTAAATAAAAGATCAAATTATCACAATATTTATTAATTTAAATACTGTAAATTTAATAAGAGAACAACATACAAAAAATGTATTGAGAAGCAAACTAATTTCAAGTAAAAATAATCACAAAAACATAACTGCAATTTTTGAAAGTTAAACTTGCCTGTAAAAGTCATTCTCAGAGACCATGTCCCTGATGCTGTCCTCAGGGTCGACCCTGTCGCAGAGCAGCCGTGACGGGCCCTGGTGATGGTTTTGCTGGGCGACGCACTGCTCGAATTTGTGCGGCGTGTTGGCCTGTTTGTCGGCGCCGACGTTCAGGTACTGCGTGACGAGGGCGGGCGACGTCAGGCCCAGGATGTTGTCCTCGCTCTTGCGGGCGGCCGCGGCGCCGGCCTGGTAGAACTTGGCCGCCGGCTGGTTGGTGGTGGCCGCCGGTGCGTCGACGGTCGTGTCCAGCGAGTCGAGCGACTTGTTGTACCTGGGCCGGTAGCCGTCGGCCATCAGCAGGGCGCTGCCGCGAGGGAACGACTCGTGCGTCGGCGACGGCATCAGCAGCTCGGACGCCATCCTGCTGCAAAATCCAAAGGGTTCCTTCTCACAGCATCGGCCGCTCTTCCAAAATTAAGTCTTCGAACGCGGAGGCGAGGAACAACCACTCGCGCTCGCTCAGCTCAACTCTTTGACAGCAATTTCTTGGCGGCGAATTTTTCTCTCACCTTTGTTTACAAATGAGACGCCTCACACCCCATCTGGCGGACTCGACACCAAACACGGTTTTTGCACAACGCAGGATGACGTGACTGTCATCTGCCCCCTAGCCGCAAGTCTTGGTACTAAACTTTGTATGGAAATGGAAAGGGAAAACCACAGAGTTGTATATACAGAGAGAGCATCCCTGTTAAATCCCCTATACCCGAGTGTCTCTTGCCTCTTCTACACTGCACTTAAGATAGCTATCTTAAGACAAAAATTGGCTTGAGACACCTGTGGAGAGTGAAGTATGGTTTGCTGAGACAGCAAACTCCCTCAGCGAGCTCGCGAGCTGTCTTGGCAGCACTTTTTGCTTAGCACATGCGCACTTGGAGGGACGAGTTGTAAACAAATCCAAGTTTTTCTTACGGGTGGTGTCCAAAAATTAGTGTTTTTCTGACAAATTACTGACCTTTTGCACAAAAAAATTAAGAAGATAAACATCTCAAACTAAAGAGATATTAGATTAACATGGAGGCCATCACTACAACCTATTTCAAGCAGTGAAAATAATTTTTTACTTCACCAACATGGAATTTTTAAATTTTTTTTTTAAAATTAATAAATCTTTTGTTAATTATTAAAAATTAAATAAAAAATTATATTCCAAACGCAACAAATATATTCTAAATGAATTTTCCCCCTAAAATCATTTTGTCTTTTAAAATTAAAATTTTTTCAATTATTTAATTCCATTCATTTAAAACTTGGAAAATAAAAATTAAAATTACAATAAAACTCTTTGACAGGTGATGTTGTGGATCATTAAAATAAGTTTATAATACAGATCGTGATCCTGAAATAATTTTATTATTAGATTTTATCAGATTTTATAATGTAACTTACATATTATATGGTGAAGTGAAATTATTGCTATTTATAAATTGATTACACTGTTTTTAATTTTCAAGATTTTTTCATCAAATGTGCAATTAGCAAATTTAAATTGGAAATTAATATTTAAAAAAGAATGACAGAGCAGAAATAAGAAAGCGCTAGATATTTTAATTGTTTTGCGTCAAAAAATTAATCTATACGTTAGTCAATTATAATTATATTTTAATTTAAGTCTTAATAAAAATTTTTCATAGTAAATATTGCAAAATATGAAAATTTTATATTTTTAATAAAGTTTTCTGGTCGAGTGATTGGCTGGTCTGACCGCAAAAATAATTGGCGCTTCGATCGATTTAAGTGCAGTGTAAAATGCAGTAATTTTGGCTTAGCATGCCCTAAGACAGCAATTGCTCAGCACTATCTTAAGTGAGCGTTTGATGTAGAGCCAGCATCTGCCTCTGGTAACTGACGGTAACTGACTATGGGGGAGGTAGAGCAGGAGCTGCAACTGAGCAACCGAGGGGCTGCTATTGTTAACAGATTATTCCACTCTGATGATTTTTTTTCTTTCCTCTTCAAGACCTTTTTCTCCTTTTCTAATATTGGAGATATATTTCCTTCTCGGCCGCTTCTTCAGGTTCTCAGCTTCATGCGCCGCGCCCGGCCCAGTAAAATATCAATTTCTCAGTTTCTAATGTTTCTAAAGGACAATTTTTGAAATTAAAAAAAAAAATATTTCTATAATGTGCTACATAATTTAAAGATAAGTGAAGTGTGTTTTATTATGTTAATTTTGAAAAAGCATAAATTGTGCAAATTTTAGAAAATCATACATTTTTTCTTTTTTAATACAATTTTAATTTATCAATTAAATTTTCTCTTGTTTTCGCGATTTTTCATTTTACACCTTTTTTTAGTTCAAAATCTGATCAGCCACCGTTTTGAAGATTTTTGCCTTTGAAATTAAATTTTTGCCATTTACTCCTTGAAACAGCTAACTGACAGAATTGAAAAAGTTAAATTGTTGACTATGCAATTTATAATGACAGTGAATAATATAAATTTGGTTAGCCCCTAGCCTGGAAGCTGGAAGCAGAAAATAAATTTAATTAATAGAATTACGAAAACGGAAAATCAATAAAAAATAATGAGGGCGATCCAAAAGGCTAACTTGACCCAGGCTAAATTAACCTGTCCTGGGCTAATTTAACCCGCCATTCAATTTTGCTGGTGGGCTTAGTTAGCCCAGGGTTAAGTCAAGTTAGCCTGGGCCAGGTTAGGCTTTTGGATCGCCCTCAATATATGTAGTTATTTAGATATGTCAGTCGCCGCGAGCCGCGCAAGTTTGTACGCGCGGCTGCGATATTGTTGCTGAGAAATAAAAAAATCACAATAAAAATTTTACTTTCATAAGCAAAATTATGTGCGCAGTATCCAGTTGTGCACCCTATAGACAATTCTTTACATATCAAAAACGTCTCTTTTCTCGTTTAATTGATAAAAGGGCAGTTAAGGCAGTTTCTTGATGATACCGAATGAGACTATGCGCGAGTCTTGATTTAAGAAAAATCGTTCTACATGTTTCAAATCACGCGTTTCACTATATCATACACGGTGAAAGTGGTGAAACCAACTCGTTTTTAAATTGGTTAGAAAAGGGATAACAAATATTAAGCAATTAGCAATTTTATTTTCGCACTGGAAAATTTAAAAGACAATAGGCAAAATTGAAAAAATTATTATATCATGTTTTTTTTTTCATGAAAAAAAAAAAACAATATTCCGCAATATTCTGCTCTACGTGTTTCAGCTGTGGGTTGCAGTCATATAATTCATGAGCTGTGAAATCATTTCAACAAGAATTATTAGCAAAAAAATTGAACTTTTACAATAAACAACTCACAAACCCCATTGAGGAAAAGTTGACGTTAAATTCGTTAAATACAAAAATATTTATTTGGGAAAAAGGAATATACATTGTGCATTAATTGTTCTTTTCTTTATTTCGCTATTTAGTAATATGTTGTGGCCATGAGCGTTGAAAATTGTAAATTTTTGACTACGAAAAATGTAGGATCTGATTTATCTACATCAACAAATTTTCTATTTTACTCTTTTCATCAATTTTGCAGCGAGTATTTTGATAAACTTAATTATTAATTGTTAATCTAATTTAATCTTAATTTGTGAACACAACCCGCAATATAAAAGACAAAGCGTATACAGTATTTAAACTATTTAAAGTGAAAGCCAGTAAAAGCAAGGGCATTAAATTTTTTAACAAGGATGGACAAAATCGCAAAAGCGATCTGCGATCCGCGATTGCGATCGCGATCTGATCGCAATCGCACCAATTTTTGAAAAGATGATCACGATCGCAATCGCAATAGGTGGTTGATCGCAGGCGATCATTTGCGATCTTTTTGCGATCGAGGAAAGCAATTTTTATGTTTAATTTGGGCGAATTTAATGCTAAATCTGGAAGAAAAAATGTCAATTTCAGGTAATTTGACAGAAAAATTTCTTAAACTAAGGCTTTTTATTTATGGAGTTCATTTTTTTTTCGGACTCCTCGTTCTGAAACCAGAATTGATAAGAAACCGTTCGGAAATGTGTTTTTCAAAAATATATTTGATCGCAAATGATCGTAACGTTTTTGATCGCGATCGCAATCGCACGATTTTTCAATTTCAAGATCGCTTTTATTTTTTACCAGTTTGAAAATATTTGTATGAACTTTAATTTAAAAGACATTTAATTTAATCATACGGAATTTGCAATAGGAAGAAAAATAAAAAATTTAAATCGTCGAGAAAATTCCTGCATAATTTATTTGGCTGCATGGCTTAAAGGGTTCATTCTGCTCGCCACAACAATGCTCGCAGCCCTCGCAGGTACATTTCCTTTAATCCTTACCGCCTCGACGTCCCCGACCCCCGATTACTCACGAAAGAGCCATGTGACATCACGATTTTACCCGATCGTACCCGATCGTACCCAGCGCCTCTACTGGCAAAACGCTGAACTCTGATTTTTCGCTCTCCCATAAGAGACAAAATTTAACCAAGGATGCTCTCTCTGTTTATTCAACTCTGTGGGGAAAACGTATGTAATACAGTCATGTATTTTTAGAAGGAAGTGCGAATGCGAACAAGAAAAGTCTAAGTACAACAGAAAAATTAGTCTTAGGGCAAGAAGTCTATGAATACTTGGGAATATAAGTCAACCCTTTTGAGCTCAGATGCGTAGATATAACCCGCAGTCTGTCATCAGTTGGTCAGCGAAATTACCGGCCTCAAATCTCAAATAGTTGCTTCAAAAATAGGAGGTTCATCAAAAGGGACTAAAGGTATGTATTTGCAAAGAGTCTTTATTGGTTTATCAGAAGGCAATTACTGCCCAGGTACATCGTACAAACATTCAAAAAATTATCAATTTAAAAGAGAGGAAAATGATCTTAAAATCACATTAATCAAAATTATTACATATATCAATTGCATAATATTTAAAAATGAAAATAAAAGGTGTTTTGAAGAAATGGAATTAGGTAATGTAGTATATTATATTGTAATAAAAATCAATCTATTGCATGTGGTGCATTATTATATATTTGATAGTTGGAAATAATAGGTTTTTATTAACTATTGTTAGAGCCTTCAAACCATGATGTGTATTGTGTTCTTAAAAACGTACACATAAGTTTTATTATTGTAATTTAGTTTTTATAGTAATTTATTATAATATAATATGCATTTTTGTAATTAATAAATTTTGTTTATTTCACATTTAAATTAATATTTTACTTCCAATATTAAAAACAAAATTATAATTTTTTTTTTAATATATATATATGTGAATTTATTGTACTTATTCGAGTTAAATACAAATTATTATACTACAAATCAAATACGTCGGACATTATAATAATACAACAATTATCCAATCAATGCTGTCATTTGGTAAATCTCTTTTATAATATATCAGTTATGAATTTAATTGTTCTCTCAAAAATTATTGTATTAAATCTTGATGTTGTATTGAAAATTATCTTATTGATTTGATTCTCTTGTGCATTTTAAATAATGAGATGTCCGATTCTGTTTTAGATTTTGCTATGAATTCCAACAAAATGCAAGAAATTGATTCCACAGCGCCTTTTATCTTCCGTATGGAATCAAGGTAGGAAAAATTATTTGATATTAAATTATGATTTGTTCTTCAAAACTTTCTATAATTATGTATTTAAATTTAATTAACGTATTTTGCCACAGATATTTTAATGAAATCCCTTCATCCTAATTAAAACGGTTCAGAATTAAAAGATAAATATTTTGTAGTTGCAGCACATTTTTGATATTGTATTTATTTTGTTACATATTTACTATTGACGAATTACATAAATCAAAACCACGTCTTTGAGTGTTACAATTTTTTATTAATGTTATTTTTATTTATTTTGTTACATATATTTTTCAGCGCTTACAATCAGAGATTTAATATTATTAGTATTATACTTCTTAGAATAATCAAAATCTACATCTAAAATATCTCCCTCTAAACAAACTTTTGCAAAGCAGGAACGTGTATTTTCCGTGATAAAATCTAATTCAGTCTAACCTTATAATCTTGAAAATTAATTCCTTGATCAGTTACTGCTTCGCCATCGTGTAAAAAGCAAAGCTGTCATCAGGCTGATAACAATTTTTCCTTCTTGGTTAATACGAAAATTTTGAATTTTAAAAAGAGAGAAGTGAGGGTTTACTAGCAGAAACGCCCAACATCGATAGAGACTCAGTCGCCGCGGTAAGGCTGTGAATTCGTTATATCTGGGTTGTTTCGGCGAAATCACATTATATTAATTTAACTAATAAACAATTAAATTAATTACAGTGAATGATTTTACATGCAGAACAATTGATGAAATGCCAAACGTCCTCGGGATTCTCAATCGTTGAACATTTTCTTTATAACAGCTCGAGGCAATATGTACTAAAGTTACTTAACTGTGTTTTCTCGAAGTAGGCTTGACTGCATGAGAGCAGTCCAGTACCGCAAACGTTTTTAAATTTTTAGCTCGGTGGTCTCAAGTCTCAAAAGTGTAACCAATTTTAATCTCTCTACCATGTTGCGTTAAGATTAACCATTTCCTGGGTCAAATCTCCCATGCTATTTCCTTGTGTATATTTTATTATTTGATAGCTACGATAATAAAGTTTTTCTACCTCGATAGGATTTTTGAACGTACGGGGTATTTTATTAAAAAAAGACCATTATGTATTGAACTTAATGTATATAGTTGAGATTTAATTTAAATTTACAACTGGATGTTACTATTATTCTCTTTTATTATGTTATTATTTTTATGACCTGAAATTAAACATGCAAACACAAATATATTTGAAATTAAAATTTTTGAAGCAATTAAAATGTTTCCAAAACCATTTGTGCAAAATAAAAATCAATATTGGAACAATTAATCTAGATTTATTTTTTTAATGCATGTTTCGAACGTAAAAAAAATGAAATCTTAAAAATCAATCATTTCACTTCTTACGTGGAGTACATTTTCATGATCGCCGTGCGATCCAATTTTCTGCCTTTGTTTTCTGGCAGCGACTCGACAAATTGCAGACCACCGTGCAGATGTTTATAGAATGGTAACTTGCTGGAAACGAGTGCAAGTAATTCATGCTCTGTGGTAGCTTCTCCACTTTTCAAAACGACCAAGCCCTTTGCAAGATTTGTTGTTTCCTTGTTTGGCACACCAATCACACAGGCCATTTGGACGGCCTGATGTTCGCGGAGGACTGCTTCTATTTCTGATGGGTTCACCTCAAAATTTAAATTCAAATTTAATAATTTCTTACAGTATAGAAATATAACTGGCAAAAAAAATTGAATCTAATTAATTAAAATGTGAATAAGCTTCTTATTATGATCAAAGTTAAACGTTCTTTAGTGAGAAAACTTACAAAGTGCATGTAATATTTGAACATGAATGAAATTCTCTCCCTCACAAAGAGCTGCCCTGTGGCATCAAAAAATGCAGCGTCGCCTGTATCAAACCATCCTTCTTCGTCAAAGCAAGACCTGTCAGGCTGGTTGATTTTATTAAGCGTGTCTTGCAATAAAAATTTATTAAATCTTCCCTCACCTCCTTGCCCTTTCTCAAGTAGCCTTTTGTAAGTTGTATGCTGCGTACCCAAAGCCTCCCTGATTGATTTTGTCGCAGTAATTCTCCTGTTTGCAAATCAATGATCTTTTTTTTTTACAAATAATTAAAATTAGGTTTGCCATTTTTATTTTTATTTCAGACCTTAGCCTCCATCAAAGGAAATAAAACGCCTGAAGAAACCATTCTTTCACCTATGGAAGATTAAAAAAGTTAAAGTTAGAGCCTTTATATATTTTTTTTTTGTATTTTCATACCATCTGGTGATGTTCCATAAAGAGGTAGTTTGAACTTGCTACTGTTTAGAGTTATTGAAACCCCTAAAGTTTCGGTGGACGCATACACCTGTAAAATAAAAATTGCTTTTATCTTTATAATATTAATTTTCTAACATCAATTTCAAACTATATTGCAATCTGCATGTGGGAATTTCTTCTCCAACAAATCCAGTGTTGTTGGGTCCACAACAGATCCACCAAGACTGATGCCCTTCAAAAAACTGAAATCGTGTTTGTCCAATTCTGGTGATTTTGCAAGCCAGCTCATAACATAAGGGTAGAGGAATACTTTCCTTGGCTATAATATCAATAATTAATATTATTAAATAGCATCAAAGGGTTAAAATTATTAAAAAATTAATCAAGAATTATGCTTCTAAACAGATATGTAAATAAAATTCATAATATTAAAATTAAGTTAATATACAATTAATAACTGGATTTGAATACAATTTTCTTTTTAGGTTATTTTAAAGGATCATTTATACACTTTTTATTGATAAAATTATAATACATGTAATTTTTCAATAAAATTATTTGCTTTGCAATGTAATGCATTAAATTTTTATATTCTATTAAGGCTATTAAGCACAACTGAAGATAAAACGTATAATATATAAATTTAATATTTTCACCTTAAATTTCAAGAGATGACCTAGAAACTCTTCATTCCGGTACCTGCTGATGCAATACATGGTGTTGCCAGTGGCAAGGTTAACACATGTGGTCCACGTGCTGGAAACGGCAAAGTTGCTCGCCGTTATCATGATGCTGTCCTCAAAGCTCTCGGCCAAAATTCCCCTAATTAAAATTTACTTTAAACAAAAAAAATTTCAAGTAACAATCACAACGGACTCAAAACATGCCAAGACACTGACGGTATTTTTGTGGGTGTGAATCACACCTTTTGGAACACCCGTACTGCCACTTGTATTGCAGATCAACAATATGTCCTTATCCGGGTCTATTTTTTGCGTTTCAGCGACGTATGCTTAAAATTTGAAATCAAGTTTTTAAAACTGGATATTTTAGGTGTGTTCAATTTTTACCTGTTCTGTCGTCTTGAGCCAATTCCGAAAAACTGACGACACCTTCAATGGATGTGTCACCAACATTTATAATATTGCAATTGTCCAATTTAGCAATGATGATGGCTTGTTTGATTGAATCAAACGTGAGTGAATCAACCGCTACAAATTTGCAGTCAATTTCTTGCATCTGCCTTGCAAATTCCTCTATTAAAATAGGTAAAAATTATGCAATTAAAATATATTTGTTAAAAATTGCCTGGTTCCTCGATTTGAAAGCTGCCTCTGGTCGCTCCTCCCAAAAGCCAAACGGCCAACTGCAGGACGCTCAAGTCCACTATATCGTAGGACACGAAGTACAAAATGTCGCCCTTTGAGAAGCCCCTCTTGGCCAAAGCGCTCGCCACTTTCTTCGACCGCTCCTCCACTTGGCCGAATAAAACTTCCTTTCCCGTACACACATCGAGCTTGACAAAGAGAAAATAATGATACAAAAAATGATCTTAACAAACCTCTAAAACTTTTTCACCAGCCAAGGCTTCTCAGCAACGGCGTGCAGATTTTTTCTCGCGTGCTTAAACAGATAATCTGTGAAGGAGCAATTGGGAATCTTGCTCGTATCATATGGCATAGGTGATTTGAAAATCTCTCCCATCGTGAGGGAGCTGACGTGTGCACTCTCTCAGGTGCGCCGCTATCGAATGTGCTCTTTCTGTATATGGCGTAGATTAGTTTGATGTGACGAGATGTCTGGCGTGGGGCGTCTGTGTTTGGAGTTAATTAATCATCCAAGGTCACCATGAGTTGAATATTTCCATACACTTATAGAGGAGGGGGACGAGTATAAAAACTTATTTCAACAATTCAAGCCATGAATATTGGCCGCAACTCTGCACCAGGAGAGAGTGGCGAAATATTTCGTTTATTCTTTTAAACACAATTAATGAAAAATTAGTAACATTTATTTTTCTTATCACAATTTTTTCTGAAACTATATAAATGCAATTTTTCAAGGGTGTTACGTAATGTTTTTATTGCATGCAGCTTTCTGATCAACGGGGTGAGACACCTGAGACGCTAAGAAATTCGCCACAAAATGGAAACCACAATTTCTTACCTGTTGCTAAACACAATTCAAAAAGTTTAATTAATTATTTTCGTTATTTTCACAGCCGAAGTTTAGGTGCCATAGTTTTTTCTAAAATAAGTAGGTGTTTGAATAATTATAGATAATGTTTGTTGCGTTATATTTAATTGCATAATTTTCTAACAATGATAATTCAAAATAAAAAGTAAATAAAAATTGCAAGAAATTATTAACTTGGCAAGGAACATAAAAATGAGTAAATAATATATAGCTGACACACGGGGCAAAAGGGTGTATGTACACACTGCACTTCATACCAGCGTCATACAAATAATCATATCAAAACAATAATATGCACTCTTATCAGTTGCCGATTCATTCCATCTCGACCATGCATATCACGATAATTTATTAATCACATGACTATATAGCCAACCACCACTGATGTATACTAAAAAATAAGCCAACTATTGCACTCTGGCCGGTTATAAAATCATCTACATGATGCGAGTTTAATTGGTTTAATTTATTAAAAAATTATTTCCATTGTTGATCTGCTTTTTCCATAATTCTAAATATTAATACTTGATATTACTTTTTACTTTGCCCTGAATGTCCGAAATTCTTAAAATTTTGCTCCGTTAAGTTTCATAATCTGTTTTTGCTAAATGAAATCAAAAGTAATCTAGATTTATTTTTTTTATACGTGTTTTCATTGCTATTTATTCCCATTGGGGAATTTCCCAACATAAAAAAATGAAACCATAAAAAAGTTTATGCCACTTCTCACGTGGAATACATTTTCATGATCGCCGTGCGATCATATTTTCTGCCTTTGTTTTCTGGTAGTGACTCTACAAATTGCAGACCACCGTGCAGATGCTTATAGAATGGTAACTTGCTGGAAACAAGTGCAAGTAATTCATCCTCTGTGGTAGCTTCTCCACTTTTCAAAACGACCAAGCCCTTTGCAAGATTTGTTGTTTCCTTGTTTGGCACACCAATCACACAGGCCATTTGGACGGTCTGATGTTCGCGGAGGACTGCTTCTATTTCTGATGGGTTCACCTCAAAATTTAAATTCAAATTTAAACAATATATAACAGAAAAAAGGCAAATTAATGGCATCTAAATAATAAATATTATATGTGGATTTCCATATTTTTCGGAACCAAAATTAGTTAGTCCTATTAATTATATGATCCAGATTGAATGTTATTTAGTAAAAATACTTACGAAGTGCATGTAATATTTGAACATGAATGAAATTCTCTCCCTCACAAAAAGCTGCCCTGTGGCATCAAAAAATGCTGCGTCGCCTGTATCAAACCATCCTTCTTCATCAAAGCAAGACCTGTCAGGCTGGTTGATTTTATAATAAGCGTCTTTTGCAGTAAAATTTTATTACATTTTTCTTTACCTCGTTTCCTTTTCTCAAGTAGCCTTTTGTGAGTTGTGAGCTGCGTATCAAAAGCCTCCCTGATTGATTTTTTCGTAGTACTTCTCCTGTTTGCAAATCTATGATCTATTTTAAAAATAATTTATATTAGGTGTTGCAATTTTTATTTTCATTTTGGACCTTAGCCTCGATCAAGGGTAATAAAACGCCCGAAGAAACCATTCTTTCGCCTATGGAAGATTAAAAAAGTTATAGTTCCAGCTTATATATAATTTTATTTTGTATTTTTATACCATCTGGTGATTTTCCATAAAGAGGTAGTTTGAATTTGCTACTGTTCAGAGTAATTGAAACCCCTAAAGTTTCAGTGGACGCATAGACCTTTAAAATAAAAATTTGTTTTAATATTTTGATTTTAGTTTTTGAGAATCAATTTCAAACTATATTGCAATATGCATTTGGGAATTTCTTCTCCAACAACTCCAATGTTGTTGGGTCCACAACAGATCCACCAAGACTGATGCCCTTCAAAAAACTGAAATCGTGTTTGTCCAATTCTGGTGATTTTGCAAGCCAGCTCATAACATAAGGGTAGAGTAACACTTGCCTTGGCTAAAAGTTAATCGAATGTTAAAAGATGTGCAAAATAATAAATCCTATGAAAGAGCGTGTCAAAGGGCTTGAGTAAAAAATATCAAGTTATTCCTTTGAAATATTGTGAACAAAATCCATAATGTGTATTAAACTAAAAATGATTATAATACATAAATGAATTTGGAACACAATTTTTTTTATTAACAGTTGTAAGGAATTATTAAATCGCGCATTCTTTGATAAATTTTTAATGAAATTACTTATAGGTAAATTTATTGTTTCCCGCTATAATGCCTTAAATTGATGTAAAAGCATAATGGAAAAGTTAAAGTATATTTAATAATATACAAAAATTGATTGGTTATTAATATTATACCTTAAATTTCAAGAGATGACCAAGAAACTCTTCATTCCGGAATCTGCTCATGCAATACATGGTGCTGCCGGTGGCAAGGTTAGTACACGTGGTCCATATGCTGGAAACGGCATAGTTATTCGACGTTACCATGATGCTGTCCTCAAAACTCTCCACCAACATTCCTCTATTAAAAAATTACTTTTAACAAAAATATTTTTAATCAACAGACACAACAGACTCAAAAGATGCAAAGACACTGACGACATTTTTGTGGGTGTGAATCACACCTTTTGGTATACCCGTACTACCACTTGTATTGCAGATAAACAAGACGTCCTTATCCGGGTCAATGTGCGTTTCAGCCACGTATGCTTAAAATTTTAGATCATTTTTTTTTTAATTGGATTTTTTTGAGGCGAGTCATATTTTTACCCATCCCATCGTCTAGAGCCAATTCCGAAAAACTGACAACACCTTCAATGGATGTGTCACCAACATTTATAATATTGCAATTGTCCAATTTAGCAATGATGATGGCTTGTTTGATTGAATCAAACGTGAGTGAATCAACCGCTACAAATTTGCAGTCAATTTCTTGCATCAGCCTTGCAAATTCCTCTATTAAAAAGGTAAAAATTATGCAATTAAAATATATTTGATAAAAATTGCCTGGTTCCTCGATTTGAAAGCTGCCTCTGGTCGCTCCTCCCAAAAGCCAAACGGCCAACTGCAGGACGCTCAAGTCCACTATATCGTAGGACACGAAGTACAAAACGTCGCCCTTTGAGAAGCCCCTCTTGGCCAAAGCGCTCGCCACTTTCTTCGACCGCTCCTCCACTTCACCAAATAAAACTTCCTTTCCCGTACACACATCGAGCTTCATAAAAAGAGAAAATAAAATTTTAAAAAATGATCTCAACAAACCTTTAAAACTTTTTCACCAGCCAAGGCTTCTCAGCAACGGCGTGCAGATTTTTTCTCGCGCGCTTAAACAGATAATCTGTTAAGGAGCAATTGGGAATCTTGCTCGCATCATATGACACAGGTGATTTGAAAATCTCTCCCATCGCGAAGGAGCTGACGTGTGCACTCTCAGGTGCGCCGCTATCAAATATCGAATGTGCTCCTTCTGTGTATGTCGCAGATTAATTTGATGTAATGAGATGTCTTGCGTCTTATTTTGCAGTTAAATAATTAACCAAGGTCACCATGAGTTTAATCTTTTAAGGCACTGATATAGGGGGTCGAAATATTTCTTTTATTCTTTTAAACTTGGAATAATTGAAAATTGGTAAAATTTAATTTTTCTTTCTGGAATTGATACTGAAACTAAATAAAAATTTCAAGGGTGTTACGTAAAAGTTTTGATTGCATAGCAGCTTTCTGATAAACGGGGTGAGACCTGAGACGCTAAGAAAATTGCAACAAAATACAAACCACAATTTCTTACTTGTTGCTAAGCAAGCACAATTCAAAAAGTTTTATTCATTATTTTTTTAGAGAAAGTTTGGGTGCCATTTTTTTTCTAAAATAAGTAGGTGTTGAAATATAGAATAATATTTGATATTTATTTGCATAATTTTCTAACAATATAAAATAAAAAGTAAATAAAAATTGCGTGAAATTCTTAACTTGGCAAGGGACATAAATATGAGTACATATCAATAGCTCCATTAGCTGTGAAGGGGCACAATGGCGTACTCGTCTGCACTTCATACAAATAATCATATCACCTCAAAACAATAATATTCTCTCTTATCAGTTGCTGACTCATTCCATCACAATAATTTATTAATCACATGACTATTGCCAACCACCACTGATAAATACTAACTAATAAGCCAACTATTGCACTCTGGCCAGTTATAAAACCATCTACGCTGCGTGTTTAATTGATTTAAAAAAAATCATTTCTATTGTTGATCTGCTTTTTCCACTTGATTCATAATACTGCTCTTACTATTATAGTTTGCGCTGAATGTCCAAAATTCTTACAATTTTGCTCCGTAAAGTTTCATAATCGCCAATCGGTCCAATTTTCTGGTCTTGTTTTCTGGAAATGAATCGACAAATTGTAGACCTCCATGCAAATGCTTATAGAATGGCATCTTGCTGGACACAAGCGTGAGCAATTCTTCCTCTGTTGCAGTTTTTCCTTCTTTCAAAACAACCAAACCTTTGGCCAGATTAGTAGTTTCGTTGTTCGGCACCCCAATCACGCAGGCCATTTCAACAGCAGGGTGCTCTTGGAGCACTGCTTCAATTTCTGTTGGATTTACCTTTAAATTTAAAATGAAAATTATTCAAAATAATCATTAAAATTAAAAAAAAAAAATCGTATTGATCATAAAAGTTGGAAAATTCAGTCGATTTAATGTCTAACATAATGCGAATGCGACATTATAAAATAATTGAAAAACTTACAAAATGCATGTAATATTTAAAAGTGAAGGAGACTCTCTCCCTGACAAAGAGTTGGCCTAAAGCGTCAAAAAATACTACGTCTCCTGTATTGTACCATCCTTCTTCATCAAAGCAAGACACGTCTGGCTGTGTGTATTATTTTATTTTTACATAATATTATAAATTTAAAGCGTCGATCTCATTAATTATTTTTTGTATCACCTCTTTATCTTTTCTCAAGTAGCCTTTTGCCATATGCTTGCTGCGCACCCATAGTCTCCCTACTTGATTTCGTCCAAGTAGCTCTCCATTTTTCAAGTCGGTGACCTTTGAATGTAATTTTGCTCACTTTATAAACAGATATTTTTTTTTAATTATCTATACCTTAGCTTCGACAAAGGGAATTAAAACGCCTGAAGACACCATTCTCTCACCTTGTTGCAAAAATCAAATAGATACTTTCATAAGATTAAATCTTTTTATTTTACCGTCTGGCGATGTTCCGTACAGTGGCAATTTCATTTTTTCACTGTTCACAGTTGCTGACAACGTCAAAGTTTCGGTGGAACCGTATGACTATAAATCGATTTATGATTTCATTATTTAATAATTTTCTTGTGTAATATTTACAAACATTATTGCAACACGCGCTGGGGAATTTTTTCTCCAGCAATTCCAACGTCGTGGGGTCCACGACGGAGCCACCAAGATAAACGCGTTTCAGAAAACTGAAATCGTGTTTTTCCAATTCATCACATTTTGCAAGCCAGCTCATGATGTACGGGTAGAGAAAAAGTTTCATCGGCTAATAACCATTTTTATGTTAAACAAAAATCATATATTCTCATATTTTCCATCATAATTTTTTACTTAAAAAAAGTAAATCAAACCTCACCTTATATTTCAATAGGTGACCAAGGAACTCTTCTTTCTGGTACCTGCTAATGAAGTATATAGTAGTGCCAGAAGCAAAACTGGTTGTCATCATCATCACGGTGGAAATGAGGAAGTTGCTCACCGATACCATAGTGCTTTCCTCAAAGCTCTCAACCAACTTGCCCCTTTTCATTGATATTTTATTGTTAATAGCAGTTTTTTTCAAACAAAGAAATAACAAACTCAAAGAAAGCCAGCAGATTGACAAAATTTTTGTGGGTGTGAATGACACCTTTCGGCACACCGGTGCTTCCACTGGTGTTGCAAAACAGCAAAATGTCTTTATCCGGATCGATTTTGACATCAGAGGGGCAAGCTTTGTTCCGGAATATTTTTACTAAAATGAACGGATAATTTTTATTTCTCTATCTACCTGCCCCGTCATCCCGAGCCAATTCCGAAAAACTGATGATATCCTCCAAGTCTTCGTCACCAACATTGATAATTTGGCAATCAATTTTAGCAAAGTTTATAGCCTTTTTGATCGCTTCCACCGTGTGCGAATCGACTGCCACAAATTTGCATTTCACTTCTTGCATCTGCCTCGCAAATTCCTCTATAACATGAAATATAATTTAAATTGCAAAAATTAAGTTTGCGGTATAAAGTTGCCTGGGTCTTCTATTTGAAAGCTGCCTCTGGTCGCTCCACCCAGAAGCCAAACGGCCAACTGCAAAACGCCGATGTCGACTATGTCGTACGACACAAAGTACAAAACGTCGCCCTTTGCGAAACCTCTCCTGGTCAATGCGCTCGCCACTTTTCTCGACCGCTCCTCCACTTCACCAAATAAAACCTTCTTCCCAGTACAGGCATCAAGCTTTTTTCAAAAAGATGAAATATTTGTAAAAAAATCACGCGTTAAAAGAAATTTTTCTCACCAGCCAAGGTTTTTCAGCGACATATGGCAAATTTTGCTTCAGGTGCTTGAAAAGGTAGTCAGGAATAGAGCAATTGGGAAGTTTGCTCTCATCATACGGAATATGTGATTTGAAAATCTCGCCCATTGCAATAGAATGTGCACTCAGAACTGGGACGCGTGCCAAATTCTAATGTGCTCCACATGTCGCAAGGAAGTGATATAAAATACCGAGATAAGAGATGTGACGTGTGATGTTAGGAAATGGTCTTGAAAATTCAAGGTCCAATGTCTAATTCTTAATTGCATTTTTTTGTATACGCTCCTTCAGAAGGAGAATCTCTAAATCAATCAAAACTTTGTAATCAGTTTTTTATGTGTTCCCTTGTCTTTTAAAATTATTCTGACAGAAAGTAAAAATCAAAATTATTCATTTGTGAACGCAGTACTAAAAAAAAAATTAAAATGATTTTAAATGCTTTTTTTCGACCTGTGTTTTTCTCACAATCAGTACACAATATTTTCATGTATATTATTTTGACTCCCCTTTGTTAATAATTATCGCCTTGAATCTAAATTTGTCAGGAAATTTAAATTAGATTAGATTTTAACGTTATTTTATTCTTTGTTTACTAAGTAAGAATCAAAATTAATAAGGGAAAAAATAAAATGCATAGAGTTGGGAAAACTTATTACCATATTAAATTGTTGTTTTATTATTCAATTTAAACATTTTTTTCTATCTAATTAAATTTCATTGTAAGGAGGGTAAAAAATAATTTTTCGAATGATATTATGCCAATTTAATTTCATACACTAAAAATTATAAAAATTAAATACTTTAAAAGAAGATCTTATTCAGAATAAATTAATAAGTTTTCTGATTTAAACATTTTAGTAAATACCCCATAGGACATACTTTAGATTAACTGTCAAAACCATTGATTGCCTGCAGACGCTTTAAAATCATAGTGAAATTATTACATCTATAAATGTGAGATGTATTGTTTGATGATCGCCATGCGATCCAATTTTCTACCTTTGTTTTCTGGCAGCGACTCGACAAACTGCAGACCACCGTGCAAATGCTTGTGGAGAGGCAGCTTCCTGGCCACAAGCGCAAGCAATTCTTCTTCTGTTGTATTTTCTCCGTTTTTCAAAACGACCAGTCCCCTTGCAAGATTTGTTGTTTCCATGTTTGGCACTGCAATCACACAAGCCAGCTGAACGGCCGAATGTTCCTGAAGCACTGCTTCTATTTCAGATGGGATCACCTTAAAGGTTTTATTTTATTATTAAAAAACATATGTTTTTTAATTATATATAATTCGAAATGTATTATTTTTTCCATTTCCTTTTATAAATAGCTTTCAAGCCAAGCTATTGCGTATTTATTATGGATAGTAAAATTACTGTTGTACACCTACGGTGTTTATTATAAACAGTCCATTTCCATTGTGTTAAACATTAAATTTTTTCAGACAAACTTTCAAAGATCAAAACTCCTAGCTCCAGGGAAATTAATCAATTAATTAATTTTATTATTATCGTCACGGGGGTTTATCATTGCAAGTAATCAGTGTGATAAAAAATATTCTAATTTCACTTAAGGTTTCAATTTTTATTTGATATTCAAGGTTCCTCGTGTTCCTCGGATCATAGCAGTTTTTTAACGTCTAACAATGTGTCACGCAAATTGGCTTCAAAATTGGGGAATAATATTTTTTACTTTCTTATATTTAGCCTTTTATCTATGGGAAAGAATTAAATTTTGTATGAACTTACAAAATGCATGTAATATTTGAACATGAAGGAAACTCTCTCCCTCACAAATAATTGTCCAGTGGTGTCAAAAAATGCAATGTCACCTGTATCAAACCACCCTTCGCAGTCAAAGCAAGACCGGTCTGGCTGTAATATTGAGATTAGATAAGCAAAATTATTTTACATAATTCAACAAACCTCGCTGTCTTTCACCAAATACCCTTTTGTGAGCTGCAAACTGCGCACGAATAGAAGTCCCAACTTATTTTTTCCAAGCAAATCCCCTGTTTCCAAATCAATGATCTATTAAAAAAAATTATACTTGTTGTGTCTAAATTTTGTTTAAAATTTTTGACCTTGGCTTCCACTAAGGGAAATAAAAACCCTGAAGTAACCATTCTCTCACCTATTATGTGGTATATTATTATTAATGCCTTTTCCTAATTAAGTTAATTAAATAATTACCATCTGGTGAAGTTCCAAAGAGTGACAGATTGATATTGTTTGGAGTGGTTGCAACTCCCAAACATTCAGTGGTTGCATACGTCTTTCAAAATCGCGGATTTTATTGACTGAGATTGTGATTAATTATTTCGATACCAAATTGAAATTAGCTTTGGGGAATTTTTTCTGCAACAACTCCAATGTTGTTGGGTCCACAACGGAGCCACCTAGACTGATATTCTTTAAAAAACCGAAATCGTGTTTATCCAGTTCAGGTCTTCTTGCAAACCAGCTCATGATGTACGGGTACAAAAATATTTTCCATGGCTTTAAACAAAGGAAGAAAAATTATGACAAAACTGGAAAACATAATATCAAAAATATTATTCTAATTTTATTATTTACTTTTAAATCATGATTATTAATATTTAAAATTTGTCTCAAAATTTTCAAAAAAATGGAGCGAATAATATTAACTAAAAAATTTCAAACCTTGTATTTCAATACATGGCCAAGGAACTCTTCCTTCCTATATCTGCTCATGCAGAACATTGTGTTGCCTGTGGCGAGAGTGAGTGTCATTGTCCACGCGTTGAAAATAGAAAAATTACTAGCAGTTAGCATGATACTTTCGTCAAAGTTCTCGGCCATCAATTCCCTATTCAACACGCATTGTTTTTTTTATTAAATATTAAAGGACGCTTCTCGTGAATTATTATAACAAACTTGAAGCATGACAAGACACTGAGGAAGTTTTTGTGGGTGTGAATGACACCTTTGGGCTCGCCGGTGCTGCCGCTTGTGTTACAAATCAAGAAAACGTCCTTATCAGAGTCGATTTGCACTTTAGGCAATAATGCTTTGATAATAAAAATAATCATGATTTGAAAAATTAAAAGTATGATCGTTTTTACTTGCGTTATCGTCTTGAGTCAATTCCATAAAACTGAGGACACCGTTAATGGCCTCATCACCAACATTAATAATATCGCAATCCATATTCCCAATTTTGATAGCCTGTTTGATCGTCTCCACGGTGTGTGAATCAACCGCCACAAATTTGCATTTCGCTTCTTGCATTTGCCGTGCATATTCCTCTATAATTAATATTTTTTAAGCTAATTTTATGGCTGATGTAATTTGAATAAAAAAATTGCCTGGCTTTGAAATTTGATAACTGCCTCTGGTCGCTCCTCCTAAAAGCCAAACGGCCAACTGCAGAACGCCGATGTCCACTATATCGTAGGACACGAAGTACAAAACGTCGCCCTTTGCAAAACCTCTCCTGGCCAAAGCTTTCGCCACATTCCGCGATCGCTCCTCCACTTGGCCAAACAAAATTTTCTTTTCCGTGCAAACATCAATCTTTGCAAAATATCCAAAAAATGATAATTAAAAAATATGAAAAAAAAAATATAATGAAAACATTAAATTATAAATATATTGGGACTAAACTTAAAAATTTTCTCACCAGCCAAGGCTTCTGAGCAACAATATGCAGATTTTGCCTCAGGTACTTAAAAAGGCAGTTGGTCAAGGAGCAATTGGGAATGTTGCTCACGTTGATTGGCACAGAAGATCTGAAAATCTCGCCCATCATGAAACGATTGATGCGCACTCGGAGCGGACCCTGTTTATATCTCAAACGAGCTTCACATGGTAACAACGGATAAATATATTTATCACTTTCAGATCTGACGTTAAAAATTCGTGTAGGTATAGTTTAATTATAAAGTATGTCGTAAGTTAATTCAGTTCTGTTTAAGAAGGGTAGGAATTCTAATTAAGGGATTAATACAAAAAAATACGCCTTATATAAAAATATATCAAAATTATCTCTGTATTTTTAGTAATATAATTTTTCTTCCATTTATCACGCAATGGCTTTCCTTTCCTACACAACAATTATTGCAAAATTCAGTATATAAATACAATTTTAGTGAAAAATATTACGCGAGTAAAAAAAATTTCCTTTGTAAGTTTATCTAGTTAAAAAAATAACTTGCTGTATAAAAAAAGCACTGCCTTCAATTATCAAAGCACAAATATTAATTTTGACTTAGTTGTGTTTATTCCAATTAAAACTATTTTGGTTTAATGGCAGCCGTTATTAGTCATAGATATAAATATAAAACAGGCATTTAAATTTAAAATATATAATGTATTTTACATTAAAATTAATGCAATTATAAAAAATTTAAAATATTTTTTTTAACACAAAACAGTAATCTAATTTTGCATTATTACTCAAATTTAAAGATTTTTTAAATTATACTGTATGATAAACAATGAAAAATTAAATTAATAAAACAGGTATTATTATTATAAATTAATATAAGGGCCTAATTTAATATTATTTCACCTGGCAACCGCCGCGGATATCATAAAGCGTTCAATGATCTATTTTTAGAGCTTATCATTAAGTGACCTCGATCTGATAAATTGCATTCTCTGCGCAAATATTATTTATTTTTTTTTTTGAGGAGCTTATCAGCATGATAAAAATCAAGAATTGAAATCAAGATGTCGATGTTAGAAGCAAGAAGCGTTGTAGCCAGAAGCGAGTAGATTCACTTTTTGCCAAATAAAAACTAGAGAAGAAGAAAAGCGTTGAAGGTTGCTGTAATAGAAAAAACTTGTGCATGATCATGGAAATCCAAAAGAGGAGGAAACATCCCACAGTGCTACTTATTATATGTTTACAAAAGAAAATAAGGATCCAGCCGTATACAGCACTCTTGCTTGTGACATTTAATTGCACCTCTAAGTAGACTGATGCTAATTAATACTACCGGACCCAATTACCCTATTTATTCATTGGGAAAAATTGATATTTGTGTTATTTCATGCAGTATAACTTTTTAAGGAGTTATAGATGCTTTGCATAGGGCATAAATATGACAATTATCCTTTTCTTATTGTTATGTTGAAATCATCAGTGCATATGACATGAGAGAGTAGTTTTTGCATTTCAGTATAAGATAACCAATTTGCAAAATACAACTGATTTATTTTATCATCAATTTAAAAAAAAAAAAATAATATCTGTTTTAAAGATGAAGTAAATTGCTTGCTATTCTTATGCAGCATATTTAATGCTATTTTATATAGTGAAATAAAATAATTCAGTGAAGCTTACATATATGTACATAATATTTTTGCTCACTGCAATGCTTTGCGCTGGTTTGTTTTTTGAATATTTGTATAGCTTTTACAAGAAATTAAGCAAAGGTGTTTTACATAAATTTAACCCAATATTATTATTATGCAGATAAAAGAAGTTGATGAAGGAATTATTGATTGAAAATACCATTGGCTATTCTTAATAACAGCATCCACTCTTTTATTGCTTGCACTCGCGAGTTGTTGGCATAAACATTTTGCAGCATTGTAACATTTAAAACAAAAAAATTCATTCAGTGGTTTGTTTAATTGATGTTTTGAGAGTCACATCGAGTAAAGACAAATCAAAGTTACCTAATATTACTCTATTTAGCGAAAAATCATAATTTCTCACTTTACAAACTCCTGTAGACATTTATGATGAAATGTTTTTCTATGAATCTTGAGCAACCATAAAGCTCTCTTGAGTAGGAATGTACATTGATCAAAATACTTCAATTACAAAAAGTTCTCCAATCAACTTCAAGAAGACTTTGGTTCTTGACTTCATTATTAAAATTTTGAGATTTGTTTAATTTTATTTTTTTTTTCAAACAAACATCCAGACTACCTGCACTTTTACACTCGCACATAAATAGTCTTACATACTTATGGCCTCTTGACAACGATCGTTTGACATCATTTGACAAAAATAATTATTCCGCTTAAAATATTTACAACATACACTTTTTGGTTTATCTTGAAGGCTAGCTAAAATGTATAGTAATATACCTTTTTAAAAATTAAACAAATATTCGACTTAAAAACTAGCGCTCATTTTAAAACTGACATTATTATCATCCACGGTGTGAAATATTTTAAAACATATGTTGATCTCCAGCTTCCCGTCCGAAATTTTGGTTTGTGAAAAATTACCTCAGACATCAAACTTATTCAGAGAATGAAAAAGTCCTGCTCTCTAAACAAGAAAAAATATCACATTTTTGTCTTCTTCTCTCCTCTTAGAGATTCTCTTCTACACAAACTCGTTGGTGCCAGGGGTGGTCAGAGGTTCCTCGGCCTGAAATGCAGACTGAAATTACTCAAATTGCACTTACAACACAACAACTAAAATACAAGTTAGGGGAGTTTTGTAGCTTTGTCTGTACTCACCACCAATCCAGATTAATTAAGTGTGCGTTAATAGTGGGAGACATTGATTGTTAGTGAAATAGCAGGTGAGTTACAAGTAAAAAGCTGTCGTTTTATTTGAACTTTGTCATAGAAAGCAATCGTTACATCTTTTGGTTGAAATGAGCAAAATCAAATCATTTTCCTACAACTCCATTCACAAAATACAAAGTTTGCCGAACATTAATTGAAACATCAAATTATCACGATGCTCAATTGACGACAAGAACAATTTTTACCAATATAATGGGAATGGCTGCAAATCAAGGGAGCACCGAGAAATCAGTGGTTAAAAAATTTGGCACAACAGATTGACTGATCAACAGTCTTTTGGTTGTAAATTGGAAATATATTTTTTAAGAGCTGAATGGAAAGCTGTGACGAAAGCTACCAGGAAACTAATTAGATCTATGAGATGACAAGTAATGATGTGTGTGTTTTGTGTGTTTTAGTTGTAATTATTCAAACCTAAAATTACATGCGTTTTGTATTTTTATCATCACATTTCTTTCGTACATATCCACGAAGATTCTTTCCTCTCACTCGTCACATGGCACGGTTACTGAATATGGCCTTTTTAAATTCCCTCTTTTTTTTTTAAAACAACAATTTCTCTCCGGTTAGTGCTAAGTACAAATATGACTAGATTTATACAATTTGCTGTACACGAATCGGTCTTAACATTTTTAATTTTTTACAAGCATCTCACAAGCCAACAACTTCACTTTTTAAACTGGAATTTACTTTCAATTAACTTTGCAAATTTCCTTAATTGGCTTGTGATGTTTTGCGTGCTGAGAAAAGAATGCACCAGCAAATCTTCTTTACTTATTAGATAATAAAATATAATTATTACATTATTATGACACATGTATGTCCCTCACAAATGTACACTTGCACTCATGCACTCAAAATGAAAATTTTCATTCTAATCAAACCGTAGTATACGTAGAAGCCCTCCATTTAGCTCAAAATTCGAAAACGCCGCTCGCACAAGGAAATAAAACCCACCGGTCATTCAATTATTCTTCTCCACACACGCGAATGATAAAGAGCTTTGATAAAGTCTGTGTTGGATTAATTTTCTCTCATAGCCAACCACTTCACCTTGAGCTTTACATGCTATGGATGGATCGAGCCTCTGCTGCGCCCGTATATGCGACAGACACACACGTTATTTTTTTAAACAAGAATGGTTCTGGCCAAATAAGGATTAGTTTCGGAAGGAGGGTGTGTGTGTTAGTAGGGCTGGTTTGTGTGAGTGTGTGTGTGTGCGAGTGCCGCCACCGCCTTATCTCAGCGGGCACGTCTCCATGGCCAGGGCTCTTACCTCTTCGCCCACCGTCGACGGGTATATTCTGCCGTTCGGGTGGTACTGGTTCTTCTCCAACGAGAACGAGTCTTCGGTAGTCTTGCGGTACACGGGGTTGTCGAAGTTCATGCTGGTGACGTTGCGGTGCAAATAGTGTCTGTACACCACAAATGCAACCTGAAAGTTGGAAAATGGTCAGATTCATGTTGGAAACTTTGAACTTGGGATTTTAATTAATTAGAATTAAAATATTTACATTGGTAGCTGCAAATATAAACTTGAATTAATTTATTTCATCTGTATTGTGACAAAAGGACATTACTATTGCTTCGATAATTTTCTTTTGAAAAACCTAATTTTATATTTTTAAACTGATGTGCAATGCTTCAAAATATATATATATTAGAAATTAATTATTTTTATGGTGCATTAATTGAACTATAGTTTATTTAAGTTTAAAATAAATTAATAAATATGTTTTATTACAAATAAAAAGCAAAATAACTTTTATTAAATTTTAATTGAAAATATTTTAAAGCATAAAAGTATTGTTTATCTATGAAAAAATAATTAACCAAACAAAAAATTGTATTGATTTTTGATTGTTTGCAAATTTACTACTATGATTTTTTAAATCTTTTTCCCCTAAATAGCCCTGAATATTTTTTTTTATGATCTACATACGGCTAAAAAATTTATATTAAAATTAAATTCAAAAGAATTTTTTTTTCATAATGCTTTTATAATTTTATATACCAAATTGCGAGTCTAAAAATAAATATTTTGTGTGGCAAAGAAATACAATAAAGAAGGGTAAGTTGGTTTTCAAATAAGTGACGGAATGTTTCAAGTTTCAATGTAGTATTATTAAAAAAAGATAATATGCGTGTTGGTCATTAAGCTACTGCGCAAAATGTGGCGCCAAGATGGCCAAATTGGTATTTACCAGAGCGGCGACAATGAGGACGATGGTGACAACCGCGATCACGATTCCAGCAACCATTCCTGAGTCGGTCAACTCGTCGCTCTGTCCCGACGAGGCCTTGTCTGAGCTGGAGCCGTTGTGTTTTGGTATACCTGCGAGCAGCACAAACACACACACAAGGCGATTAGCAAACGGCGCTTGCGAAAATAGGTGTCACGTGTGCGGGGGATTGCGGACGCTGCCAAAAGTATATATAGTGGAAACGTGCACGTTCACATATATACGCACGCACCAAACACAGACACACGGCAGAATATAGACAAAGAGACAGATTGAGAGAGGAGTTGGAAACGACGACAGACCCAAGTGAATATTTATATAAATGGACACACACACCACACATAGGTGTGTGTTGAGTGCACGTCAAAGTTAGCCAACCTTGGCCGCCGACCAAAAATTCTGGCGGAGGTCTGTTGGGTTTGGCGCGAATCGAAACGGGGCTCTTAGGGGCTTAGCACATGCATGCATGCAAACTAACGAAGCAGTAATTTGTTGCGAAACGCGATATCAAAGGCAGACAAAGGGATGCGAGAACTAATGAAGCAGCGTCTCTCAGCCCATCGAAAATAAATAAAGCTTTCTGTGGATGCGAATTTGATCACTCCGGGGAGTAATGAGCGCAGCTCCGGCGGCGGCGCCTTATCAAAGCGAGTCAACAGTTCCCGGCCGTGTTGCCGAGGATTGGATCCGTGATGGATGGGAAGTAAATAGCCTATTACGTTCGCCCGGCGAAAGAGAAAGAGAGAGAGATCGGAAAATTGGCTCTTGCCGGAAGGAAAAGAGGCGTTTTTGTTTCGCGGAGGAAAATGAGTTTCACTGCTCAGAGTGTTAGAAACTCGTTTTCGGCTCTCACCGGGGGTGAAAATTACGCATCCAACGAATTTGTGAATTTGTTTACAAATATAAATATCTACACTTTGAAACAGGAAAAAGGGTGGTGCACGGTGAGAACAAAAATAATACACAGCTTTCAGAAGGAGCCTCCACCATCAGCAATCAAGAGCTGGTTGTCTGGAATGCAGAGTGTGAACAATCTAGCCAGCAGCAAGCCTCTCATGAAATATTCACAATTGCATCTTCATTAACAGCCTTCTTTTTGAAGTGCAAAAAGGAGGAAGCGTGGTGCATCATCAGCGAGAACAAAAGGGCAGAAATCTTTGTGAGGGTGCGGAAATATCTTGCGCCCGTCGTGAAACAAAATTACTGAGTTGACGAGGCCGTTTACCTGTTGCAATAAAAAAAGAAAAGCACGCTATGCAAATTGCGTGGTTAAATATTTAAGCTTTTACAGCGTGAAACCCCGGAGGCGGGAAAAAAGTACGTTTTTACTTTGGTGGAAAAAGAAATTACAAGTTGCGAGTTGTGACAAACGAAAGTTTTGCTGCTGGCTCGGACTGTTATGTCCACTCTTTTTGTGTAACTTTTTACGTCTACTCACTGGGATGCAAAGAATGAGTTGAGCCGCCGGAAGGTGATCCAGACGTAGCAGGAGAATCAGTGCTGTTTGCTAAAATTGGACGAGAACACAAAGACATTAAATTCATGCAACACAAAAATGAGAACATCGTTAAAAATCAAAATGAAAATCATGAGAGAGCACATAAAACATACTCATGCTCTAAACGGTCTATTGCGCATCCGAAAACATTTATCTAAAAATGAACTGAGAATGTGGTTGATTCGCAAAAAGGGACTCACTCATTTCGACACACATCAGTCTGTCCTCGATGAGGGTGAGGCCATCGGGACAGGCACAGGAGATCTTTGGTGAGTTAGCGTTGATAATAGGAGCTGGCAGGCAGAGGTGGGAGCAATGTCCGTTCACTGCCTGGCAGTGGTTGGGGCCATCAGGCTGGCGGTAAGGATGGTACACATGCACCACCATAGGAAACTGAACCTGTTTAGAAAAATCAAAAACACTATTAAGAAAGGAAAATACTTAGCATAATCATTATTTTGTTGTGCAATTTTGTTTTAAAATTGATTCAAATTGAATCAAGAAATAAAAATCAGATCTATTTACTTGATATGTGTTGGTTTTTCAGGCAATTTTAGCAGTTAATTAAGGGGAAATATTGAAATTCTTAACTAATTCATTCACTTTTTCAAACCAAATTCATCTCACTCACCATGTGGGTAGCAGTGACAGGAGTAACATCCTTTCCATTGAACTTGTTGGCCTTGAAGAGGGCCTGCTTGTCCCAGTCGGACCAGTACACCCAGTCCTCGAAGGTGGTGATGGAGAACGGGTGCTGCAGCACGTCCGGTGAGTACAGGATGACCCGTCTGTTCTTGCCGTCGTAGTCGCAAGATGAAATGGTGTTCAGCTTGGCGTCCACCCAGTACACCTGACGCTTGACCAGGTCCAGGGTCAGCCCGTTGGGCCACTTGACCTCGTAGTTGACGATGGTCTGGCGGTGGGAGCCGTCCATGCCGGCGCGCTCGATCTTGGGCTCGGTGCCCCAGTCGGTCCAGTACATCCAGCCTTCCACAGGGTTCAGGGCGATGGCGCGAGGCTCCTCCAGGTCGTCCTTGATCAGCGTTTTGCGCATGCTGCCGTCAAAGTTGGCCAACTCAATTGTGTTCTTGCCAGTGTCCGTCCAGTAGATGTGGTTGTAAATCCAGTCCACAGCCAGGCCGTCCGAAGTTGTGATCTCGTTCCTAATCACCACCACTTTGTCCTTGCCCTCGTCAATGGGTGCCCTAAATTGATAAAAAAAAAAAAATTAATCGAAATTGCAACAAATGTTAATATTAATAAACAAGTTCATCTAATTAAAAAAAATTAAAATACTAACATTTTTTAAATGAGCTGAGCGTAAAAATACCAGAAAATTAAATTTTATAAACTTGGTTTTCTTAACAAGCAAATTATTATATAAAATCCAGGTTTAGGCTTCTCCTTCTTAAGCCCGAAAACAAAGCAGTTTAGGACTAAATCCGTAAAGATAATTATTTTATGCAATTTCAAGTTTATAAAATGGCGTTTCCACTTTTTATCACTCCAGAACTGAGGCCGTCAGCAAGCTAGGCAATTTTGAACGACCCAAATTTTAATTTTTGCGGATCGCGTCGCCGCGGCTCGCGACGAGGATAAAATATTCATGAGCCTCGCCGCCAAGACTGTAAGCCTTTTATTCAGAGAGGCGTGAAATCCTCCTCTCTCGCGCGCATATAGGAAGTGCAATATTTCCCTCGCTCTCGTCAGGAATGATGAGGGATGACTGAAAAACGCCTGTGTGAATAATGATAGATGGATCCTCGATACGGCACGCCTGCTGCCGCTATGCACGCATTTGAACTTTTTGTCTGTGTATATATTAAAAATTCCCTTTTCCTCTTTGTCTCCGGTTTTTCTTCGCGTTCCCTGCGGGCATTATTATTGGTTCGCCGAATACGGCGACGTGTTTGCCTCGGAAAAACCGCCGGAACATTTGCAAGTCAAACTAGAATCAAGATAGATAGATCTCTCTTTGGCGAATTTTTCCGACGCACGTCTTCAACCAAATTCGACCGCCTGCTGTACTCTGCACTGCGGAGAATTCATTGAAATTGTAGCAAAAAAATTGAAGGAATTTTGAGATGGGGAAAGGTTTGCAGAGAAAAGGATGCGTATCATTTGAATGTACCATTTTTTGCTCGTACAAAGGGTTTGTATTTATTTAAACAGTCAACTCACAATCAGAGCATATTTAAATTGGTAAAGATTTTTTAGAGATTGATTTTTAGAAAGAAGAAAAATGAAGAAATTCTTGTTGTTCATTTTTAAAATTTCTGCATAATTTAAAAGAATTCTTAAAAATTACATTCTACTTATTTAATAAATTTATTCAAATTCCGGATCTCGGCTCTTTGAAGAAGTTCCCTTTGTCGTGAAAAAAGTAAAAAAGCTGACGCCGGGAGTTTTTCACTGAATAATGAATTCACAGGTTGCTCGCGCCGGCCCAGTGCCAGAGATATGAAAATTTTCATGAGCCAACCGACCGACGAACACGCGCGCGTGGCCTCCACGGAGTTGTACATTATCAGTCAAAACGGAATAAATTTCGCAGTAAAAGAGCGGCGGTGGAAGCTGCACAGAGCAGAGAAATGAGAACGGCGAATAAAATACTCGGGGCTTCTCTCTCTGTTATTTCGCGATGTCGTATATTTTCCATTTGGCGCGCGCTCTTTTAACACGCCCGCCGCACCACGGGGCATCGTAATTTTTCAGAGCTGTGGTGCAAAAATAAAAAAAATCCGCCCAGAATTTTCATCACGCTTCAGCAGGGAACGTTGAGTCGACGCGTACGGCGTGGGAAATGGGTTGAATAATAACTCGGCCTGAATATTATGCACACTTAACCTGATTAAAGTTGCCCAACCTTGACGAAGAAAACGGAATTCGAGCTGGTGTGGCAAACATAAAAATTACAAAATTTCCAACTGGAGAAATTAAATTATTTAAAGCAAAGGGTTGAAATATTTAACTACTATCTTGACTGAAACCTGACTTCTTTCATCGCGAATTTCCAGGTAGTCACTTTTCTGCTCTCGGAAACCGCAAAACGCGCATGGCGCCCGGAAGATCAAAGCAGCAGAAATTTTGAACAACGACCGCGCCTTCGTGCTTTGCTCGGTTCCCAAGGGAAGCAAGTTGTCTCCCTCTCGAAAATACGAAAACATCAAGAGGGCTGCTCCGTCAGATATATACGTGAGCAGATAGGCAGGAAACATTAATTGGGCTAATTGATAAATTTCCAAGAACATGTAACGCTAAAAATCTGAGCTTTCACTATCAGAGATCGGAGACGTATTTTTTTTCAAACAAAAACAGAGAAAATATATCTAGAGATATTTTCAGGGTGATTTGAATTCTAACACACAAGATATTTTTAACCCCATTCTAGCAGCCGAACTTACTAGTTGCAGAAATTTGATAGTGGTTGAAAGAATAATAATTCAAGGCATCTAATAAATAAGTTTTTGTAAATTTAAAGTTGATATGAGACATGTTTATTTGCCATAAGACATAAGATCTACAAAATCGCCGAATATTTAATTAATTTTATCATTTTAATATTTTATAATGATAAATTAATTATTATTATTTATTTCCTTTGAAAAAATTACAATTCATATTTTCACTTCCTTTGGTATTATGAACAAAAATATTTTCACAAATGAAGATTTAACACATATTATGAGGTATCTTCCCTCATCTTACGCACGTGTCGTCTTTAATGAGACAAGTTAGTTGTTCCCCTGCTTGTTGAAATTCTTCTCCGACGGCCCCTTGTGATTTATGCACTGGCAGTGCAGACGCGGAATTGAGCCATTATCGTTGCTGGAGCACACACGGCGGGGGCAGATGCTGAATAATTAGTGCGTGATGTTGTGTGCCTGCCCCGACTAAATATGCGGCGTGCCGATTCATTATTCAAACAATGCCGGGGCGGCCGTAATGAATAAACGAGACGGGACTGCGCCTAACCTTCCCACCGACCCCCGCCCCGGAGACCAAGTAACAGCCCTCGAGCCGATTTGGCCATTTTTTCTCAAGTTAACTTGAGCGACCCCTCTATGCAGGGTTTAAGTGGTGGCGCGGTCGGGTTTCGTCCCAAGTTTGTTTTACGATGGTAAAACGGCACGCCTCTGTGTGATTAAAAAGCTTGGCCTCTCAAAAGTTAATTTGACCCCGATGAAAACGAAAGAAGAGTGCTATATGCCAGAAATTGGCGATCGCCGACAAGTTTGCTATAAAAAAGAGAGCGTCCCGGTGGAGTCTTGCTTGGCTATTAAGCCGCGGCAATTTCAGCTGCTGCGGAAATGTCCCCAAAAGTTTGAGAGTGCGGGCGGAAAATGGCTCTTTCCCGGAGTTTCCTATCAACTTTTCTGCTGGGAGCGAAACCGGGCCGTCTCACTTGGGAAAATTAAAGGTTAGGCTCTTGGGGAAAAAAACAATCGACATTTCAACATCTAGATAAAAGCTTCTGCACAGAGTCAGGGTTTTGAATTTAAATGAAGTTAATGAGAATAAAATTTCTTGGATTCATCCTATTTAATTTTAGGCACTCAATAGCTAAATGAATAATTATTATATTCAAAATTGGTAATATTCAGAAAAATAGGACGTTAGAAATTTATGCAAACAATTGTTTTAGATTGTATTTTTTTTTTTTCTTCTTTTTTTGCTGCCATGTTTGAGTATTTTTTTTTAAATTCCTTAATACAATAATTTTCACCACCCTGTTAAAACATTTAAGTCCCTATTATTTGCAAAATTAAAATTTGGTTGTCTGTTAATAATACAAAATATTAAATAATTCAAAATTGCACTTACTTGTAGATCTTCTGGTCGCTGACGTCACTCCAGAAAATCATGCCAGTTCTGAAAACAAAGTCCAGCGCGGTGGCACTCTTGGTCTCGTTGACAATGGCCGTCATCTCGTGATGGTCTAGCGAGATTTTCCTGATGTCGTGTCTCCTGGCGAACAGCAGAGAGGCGTGACCCTCGGTGGCCTTGCACCTGGTGTGGTCGCGCGGCTCTTTCTGGTACTCTTCCAGACATTGGCACTTGAAAGAACCTTTTTCGTTGATGCACACTTGCGAACAGGTACCAGGTGTGTCACACTCGTTGATATCTGAAGCACAAATACGCCCCGACTGCTTAGTATGACAAATAAATTTGGGGATTGTTTTCGGTTGTTGGGGGGATTATTCTTGGGATTTTGAGAGGCGGCCATGTTTGCGACAGATAAGCGCAGATTTATTTTATTTGTTTCAGAGGCAAGATAACCCCAACATTTGCAAATGTCAAATTTGTTAAATCCTCTACAAAAAAAGCTTAAAAAATTATGGCTGGAATAAGCACAAATTTTAGTTTCTAAATTGAAACTCGGGAAATATTTTGTTATTAAACAAATAAAATGCCACTTGAATAGGCATTTTATCACTTAAAACAGCAAATTTTGTGTAATTAGATCAATTGGGAATAATTATTCAATTAATATAAGAGTCCATAATAAAATTTTGAAGCATTTTCACGCGTACCTTCACAGGTTCTATTGTCCACCAGCTGGAAACCAGGCAAGCAATCGCAGTAATATCCCGCAGGAGTGTCAACGCACTTTTGCGAGCAGCCGCCGTTGTTGTCGAGACACTCATTCCTGCCGCACTTCTCACCAGGCTCGTCCTCCCAGTTGGGGCAGTCGGGCTTCTTGTCGCAAACTTTGCTCAGAGGAATGCAAATGCCTGACGCCGCACCGGTCGCCAAACCACAGTCGAACTCCGTGTGTGGGTCGCACTTGGGCGCAGGCGACGCTGTGAACGTCAAAGTTGGAAATGAGAAAAGGTAGCTTAATTGAAAAGTTGTGATGGAAATGACAGAAAACTCCATTAAAGTTCTTCTTTATATGGCTCCAAATAATAGAGAAATATGTATGAAATTTAAAGTTTTTTGTTCAGAATAAATAAATGTTATGTTTTAAATTTGAAATAAAATTTATATTGATTAATTTTTCTAATTTGAATCCGAAACATAATAAACACAAACAAAAAATTTTCTTAAAAGCATTGAAATGAAACTCACTGCAGTTGAGTTCGTCACTGTTGTCGGAGCACTCCGGAGTGCCGCTGCAGTGCAAGTGTCCAGGAATGCAGTGGCCAGAGTTGCAGCGGAATTGGTCAGGTCTGCAAGTGCCGACGACGCAGTTGGGTGCCTCTTCGTCCGAGCCGTCAGGACAATCGCGGTCGCCGTCGCACAGCCAAGCCTGGTGGATGCAACTCATGCGGTCCATGCACTCAAACTCCCGAGCGCTGCAGTGCGAGTGGTGCGGCTTTGGTGTGGGGAAACCAGTGCAGTTCTGTGCAGAATAGAAATTTTAATTAGGATTATTCTGATTTAATTTCAAAATATAGTATTTTATTTCAATAAGTCTTTTTAAATAATTAGGAATGATCTTTGTGGAAAATAAAAGAAAGTTAACTCTGAAAATGTGTAGACGCCGAATTTTTCGCTAATTATTTCACGCAGGATTTGATTTTCTAAAAGGAAGATTCATTTTTGCATAAAAAGCTTTTAGCTCCGCGTGATTTTATTACGCACAAGAGACTTTCAACAAAAGGTCTTTAATTTTTACGCGCTTGGAAGGGCTTTTTGCCGCGAAATTCTTACTGCTCGATCTCTCGTCATCGCGCAGTCAGCGGGAAGAAGATAAAAGTAGTGTAATTACGCGTTTGCACAAAGAGGCTGGTTGCACACCCACGCGACCGCATGAAATGCAGAAAATGCTTCGCGAATTTTGTTGGCGAAAGGAGAAAGCGCGTTTGCCGGAGGTGCTCATCAAGAGTTGCCCACCCACCCCTTTGAAGTGCCGCGAGTGAGCACGAATGGGCCAAATAGCGAACGTGTACCGGCTTTATTTCGAGGCCATTTTGCTTTGGCTGTAAAACACGGCTCGTGTCCTGTCTTTATGTGAGGCTCTCTCTTGCTGGTCTAGAGAGAGAATTCGCAGTTCTAGTTAGCATGTTTTGCGAAGTCGACGCCGTGGGCTGCACCGAGCTCACGTCTCTGCATTATTTTACGGCAGCGGAATTATTAGGAGCCCCGAGCCTCACTTCATGACAGACACGTTGCTCGCTTCAAGAAGCTGCAGTGCTAATTCGCCCAGCCCGCGTTCGCCCCCGTGGCGAGAAATTCTGCTCCGATGCACGATCAAAAATCTCGTTGCGGAAACAAGGCGAACCGCCGCCGCGGCTTTTTATTGCACGACGCGCCCGTAAATCTTAATTAATGGGGCGCCGGTGTCTGACGGAGATAAAGCTGCCGTCATTTGACCAATTGGAGAAATAAGTTAGTGTAGAGGATGAACGATTGAACAAGAAAATTTAAGATTATTTAGAGATGTGGATCTAATATTGAATATTAGGAATATTAATAAAATTGAATTTTATTCTTAAAGAGAAAGATCTAACCCAGAGGGAAGTAAGTTTTCCTTGTAGAAATTTAAAATTTTACATGACTCGGAATTATTTATATCTTTGATAATCCGAATATTGTTTAACATAAAGACACCATCTGGATACCCCAAGATTATTTAAATCCAAATTGTAATGAAAATAAAATGAAATTTATTATTATAATATGTAATAAAAGAACAATATATTATAATAAACTAGACCTTTAAAAACTACAAATAATATGTTTTAAATGTAAATTCAATTAAATTTTACTTTATATTTATAAATATATGCGACAGAACTAATTTAAAGCAATTATTTTCCCTCACCAGATTTAACAAATTTTACATGTAATGAAATATTTTAACTGTTTCCTCTTTTCTCCTTTCTAGATTAATTCAGGGCCATGAAGGTCGGCTGGATTTTATTAAGGAAAACCGAGACAATTGGTGTTTGTTGGAAGAGATGCAAAAGTGAAATATCCTCTCTTCCTCCCTAGAGAGTGCAGGGAGACGCAAGTGGTTGACGACCCTGAAAATACAAAGGACCAAATTGGATTTACTTCGCAGAACCGCCGACGCTGTAAATAGACTCTGACGGGCACTGGGAGAAAAATGCGCCATCATTTCCACCCAGCCTTTCCGCCTCTCTCCTCTTGGTAATATTAGCGAGCGACGGTGGAGCGACCGTTCCGCTGCGACTGACTGACTCGGAGTGAGCACAGAAAGACCGACGCACACAAAAGAGCGAGATTAAAAAAGTTGCCCGCAAAAGCAGTGACATAATAATTTTTCCGCGCCTTCCTCTTTCAAAATTGCGACGAGTGCCACTATCTCTTCTCATATCCGTGCCAACTTTTCAATTAAAAAACTTGCACCACCAAATCCACCGGCTGAGGGAGATAGAAGATGAAAGGGGTGCTCTAGCAATGCTAGTTCCGCCTCCGCGGTCGCGAGAGTAATTTACAAATGTGTCAAGACGCACAATGGCGGCGATAGCTCTTCATACGCTCGGCTGGGGTTGCAATGTGATTATCCCGGACGCGGCGGCGACAGTTGTTGTTCTGGGTGGGGATCTTTAAGGGAGATGTGTGTGCTAAATTTTCAAAGCAATTTTCTTTCACTTTCAGCGGAATTGGGGGGAATTTAAAAATTCAGCGAATTTACTTAAGTTAAAAATAAATAAAACAAATTTATATGGTGGTGTATAAAATTTTCCTGCTATCAACAATTGCTTTTCTTTCATTGTGAAATTTTTTAAAAGAGAGGACAAATGAACTACAGTTACAAGAAAACGATGTATCTAGAAATTTAAATTAGACGGAAAAAATACAATTTTACTTGGCTCGGTCTCTTTGGCTGCTGTTTACATTGAAGAACTAATGAGATTCAAACTTTCTTGTAATTTCTTGATTTTCACCTCTCATATATTTAAATTTTAATTTCACATTCACAGACAAAAAAAAATATGAAAATTAAATAAATTATTCAAAATTAGTTTTTGCTCTTTTGCTTGAGATCAATGGTCATCGTTTTGTTTCAAAATTTGTTTAATTCTGAGTGTAATTATCTTTCATTTGAATTTCAGACAAAAAGACTATTAATTTTGCGCATCTCCCTTTAACACCTCCAGTTCTAAACTGAAAACAACCGTACATACGTTCAGCGTCAACCCACAATGCTTGCTAATTTTCCAAGGCCGGAGGCGCGCGAAATTGCGCTCTGCATTGTGTCAAGTTAGCACTGCGTCTGAATGTGTCTGTCGAGTCATCAAATTTAGCGTCGCAGGAATTTGAGCATGCGACGCCGAGGCTCAGCCAATTGAGACCCGCCGTCGTGTGCTGATTGCCAAACGAAAACGCTCCGTTGGTTCAATTAGAGTTTCACTCCAATTAAACTGTCATACATGAAGAGCGCACAATATGCTAAATTTATGTAGAAATATTGATTCTGGAATGAAGCCCGTGACGGTTCTCAAATTCTCAGTATCGGCTGAAGTTTGTACACATAAGCCGAGGATGTAATGATTTTGCCAACGGGCTTATTTACAGACGAAAAAGCTGTCAAGTGGATTTATAAGTTTGATTAAATTTCCACGTACGCTTAGAAACTCTTGTACGAGATCTAAATTTTGTATACAAAACATCAAATGCAGAGTTTACAACGTTTCATAACTAAATGAAAGTTGATTTTGGACTTTTGTAGGGATGTATTGTAAGATTAAAGCCAATTTAGAGATTAGAGATAAAACTCTAGAATAAAATTAATTTAAAAGTTAGAATTTCAGTTTCAAATTGAAATTTTTTACTATAATTGAAAATAATTACCTGCTCATCAATGCCGTCCGGGCAGTCTGGGTCTCCGTCGCAACGCCATCGGAGGGTGATGCAGTGGTTGATGCCGCACGCAAACTCGGTGTCTTCGGAGCACTTGGTTTTGGGGCAGTTGTGCTCGTCAGAGCCGTCACCGCAGTCGTCGTCGCGATCGCACACCCAGCGCTGCTGAATGCACTTTCCGTTGCCGCAAGTGAACTCGTCGGAGCGACACGTTTCATCTGGGGAAATCAAACAAGGCAACAATGCATCGGATCCTTTCGCTTCCGAATCAAAATCAACCCCCCGATTCGACTGACTGACTGTGATCTCTTTCATGTGACGTTTGTTTGAACAAAGGGGAGCGCCTGCGATCGGCGGCGTATGCAACCCGCGCGAGTGGAAAGACGTGCGGGCTGCATACACCTGATGTTGAGATTTTGCTGGCGAAAAAGAACAGGTTTAACTCAAAGTTCTTTTGACGCGGAATCCAATATTTAATAGTCGGCGGGCCTCAAAGGCGGCAGACGTTGTGAAAAGTCAAAATTCTGCTGCACCAGCATAAAAGAAACATGAAAGAGATGCCAGCCACTACAGAGAAATGCAGAGAGAGAGAGGAGAAAAGAGATCTCGACTCTATCTAAAATTAACATACTAGCACAATAAAAAATACATAACAAAGGGTGGTATTATGGCAGAGGAATTTGCACAAGAGGAAAGAAAGAGAGTTATAAAGAGGTGCTGGATGGAGAAGGGAGCAGAGAAAGAAAATGCACAACGAAATCAACGCTGCAGCGGGGCTCTACTTTCTACTTAGGAGCGGAGCAAGAAGTTTCTTTCACACTGCAAAAGAAGAACAGAAAAGTGGTGTGTTAATTTATGGAGCCGTGGCTGCACCGGGAAAGATACGAAGAGGGACGAGCTCTGCGAGTGAAGCGTCGTCTTTCATAAGCCGATTTGCAATTTTTTTTTTTTTTTTTTTTTTAAATAAGATGAGCCACGGCCCCCGTACCTTTTTCCTCGTTGGACGGAAACTCTTCCATCGGTCCGCATCAACCTTCCCAACGACCTCTCTTTCAAAAGCAGAAATAATCCTTTTTATAAAAAATTGTTTATAATATTTTCGTCACCGTCATAGTGAGCGAAGGAAGCGAGCGGATGTTTGACGGCATTTCCTGCGCGACCAAAACTGAATTACAAGCGGCTGATGTGTAAAGCTATCTCAAAAATGCAGCAGTCGCTTTTTAATAAAACACAAGGACGCTCCACATTTTATGACTAGCACACTGGAAATTTCCAGTCGAGCGTTTCCCTCCTGTTTTTCAGGATGCAAATTTTATTTGCTCTCATTCTTCTTCGTCAGGGAATGCAATTAAAATGCAAATGATTCCAATTTTCCTTGAATGCTCGGCAGTGAGCACGATTCTACAAATCCAACATTACTCTCATCCAATCAGAGAGAGAATGTTATGAAATCAAATACTCCGGTTAAATACTGTATTAAATTCAAGATTGCCTTGTGGTACAAAAATAAACTTCATTTGCAACTAAATTCAATCATTTTATTTTCAACTGAGCCAAAGTTTTCCTCAAAATTTCAAAGGCTGTGGTAAAAATGAATATAAAAAAATTGCATAAAAAGTAATAGAGAAATATAAAATTATACTTTTTTTTAAATTAGATTTCCTCAATGTGGTTGCCAACAAAAAATGTGCTGCAGTTTATTTTTATATTTATTTTTTTGCACTCGGGGAAACTTTTGCCGGCTTATGAGCCTCAATTTCCTCTCGCGCGCCCTAATTTGTATTCCCCCCGAGTAATTACGCCGGGAGCAAGCAAAACACCTGGCCGAGCGAAAATAGGTTCAACATCGAGCCGGCCAGAAATTTTATGCGCCCTGCGAGCGCCATCAATAGCCGAGCGGCAGCTTTTTTTGCGAGATGACCTGGCAGCAGTACTTTTATTATCACGACTCAAGCGCCTGTGTGCCGAACGGACGCGGATATCCTTTTAAGATTATCTGAGCGCCTTTTAAAAACGTCCGCCCGTCCGAGGGGGAGAACCAACCACCGAGGGGCAGGCAATATGGAAATGGTGGAAAAACTCGCTCGAGAATTGCTTGCCCACCATTTTAGAAGAAGTTTATCGCCCAGTTCCAAGGGGAGTTTTATTTTCGGGCCGAATTGCTATTGCCACGGTTTACGATCATGCTAGCTGTGCTGACAATGAGGTTGATCAGTTGATGCGCCTGGGGAAGTTTGTTCACGACAAAACGACTTCACTGTCTCTTGATAGTTGAAAGGCAACGGTATGAATAACTACAGGCTCTATAAAAATAACGATCTGAGGAGAGGAGATAAATTTCATCTCAAATTTAAAAATTTAAAAAAAAATGTGAGGGCTGATGTAGAAAGATTTGAGACTGAATTTTTTAACTTAAAAAAATAGAAGATAAAATACTTCTTTATAATGATATTTTAAATGCCACTATAGATTTTCAGCACGCAATCTCTGTTTTTTAATTGAAATTTAAATAAGCAAAATGTTTTTACAAATTAGTTATGCTATTTGTTACATTGCAAAAGTCTATAAATTATTCAGAAAAAAAAAATAATAATTAAGCTTGTTGTTAAATTATGTTCACATTTACGTATCAATAATTTTTCACGGCTGTTGACAATAAAATGATTGATTTTGCAGCTTTAATAATTTAAACTTTCCAATTAAGTTTTTAAACCTTGTAATCTAACATGTGAGCCGTTTCAATGCGGCCAGGGACAATCGTAAAATTGAATCAATTACACGAAAATCCAATCTGCAGCAGTCTCAATCTGCATGTGGCTCATTCCAATCTGCCTCGGCATTTAATTTAATTGGAGCGGCAACATCAGCTAATCCCACTCGATCGCGCAGTAATACCGACACTATAATGGCCGACTTGAAGTACCATTGGCTTGGATTAAACGTCCTGTATCGTTTCATGGAGCTCTGACCTCTCAACGGGTGTTATGGAACCATCGACTCTTGGCAACACTCGAGATGATTCTCTGAAATAACCCCTGATGAGCGTTTGTCTGATTAAGCTTAGAGTGGGACTAATGAGATGTGGAATATCAGTATATGGAGTTTCTCTAGTCTTGTTGAAATTACATGGCATCAATAAAAAAAAAATACAAATATTTTTATATTTTACTGTTGGAACAAAACGCGATATGAATCACCCTAAATTTATTTAAATTTAAAAATTTAGCACAAGCACTTGATCCTTTTGAGGAATTAAAATCATTAAAATCATTTTTGCCTTATTTTTGTAGTCATTTTTTTTTTTATAATTTAATCATCACTGCAACACTAAAAATGGATGTGAAATGCTCAAACCTGGTATTCAAGGAATTTTGAACTTTGGGATATAAATTCAAGATAACAGGTTTGTCTATTTTCCTTAATGTGTGGGTCAAATTTTATCTCCGCCCATAAACGTTGTATTTAGGAGAAAACACAAATTATGTTCCAAACTGTTGGCATTCGCTACATTTTCCGCGCGGGAAAGTTAAGGGTCTCCGTCAAGTGCTGTCAGCAAAGCGCTGAACTTGTTTTGCGCATTCGACTTACTTAGCAACAACGTCAGTCCGACTTAGATAGCCATTAAAAAGCTGTCTGCGCTCGGCGTGTTGTGATAGCGGCTTAAGAGGTCACGCGGCGTTGTTTGAGCTGGTCAGTCTGCACTCTGTACCATCAAGATTTAATGCAAAAGTTTATGCTTGCCGCAAGTATGCCGACCATTGTGTACGATAATCATACAAACTCGTCGCTCGCTGCCTTCGCTTTTCAGAGACGTTGTCTTGTTTTGATTGTCGACGCAAAAGTTAAGGAGGGACGATTATTGGCTGTTTTAATCAAAGACTTTTCAAAACTTTATAGTATATTTCATACATTTTTGTCTGGCACAAGATATATTTTAGCGTTCCAAATTTGGACACTAATTAAATTTATTTTCCTCCTCATGCAAATAATGAAATAAAATAAAATGATTGATATTTTTGAATAGAGGTGGAAAATCAATTGAAAATTTTGAACAGTCAAATATTCAAATTCACCCGCCCTGGGAATAAAAAATCTGATTTTAAATTTCCAGTCGATTAATTTTAGACATGGAAAATAATCAAATAATATGAAAACATCATTGCAAATAATCATCGTCTCTTTTAGAGCGTGTTTGTACGACCCAAGTATTCAATTTAGAGGGATTCATAAATTAAGAACATGGTCACAAGCACTTAATTTATGTAATTTAAAGGGAATAATAATTATAAAGCTTGAGAGCCTTTTTTATCAGCCATCCCTCCTTATCGTGTACTTTTCAGCTTCCCAAGCGACTCCAACCGAAGCATAAATATTCCCAAAAATTACCCAAGAGGCACTTACCTTTTGATAAACATTTGGCCGAGGCTAACATCGTTTTTATCAGAACGCACAGCACAAAAAGGAACTCATTTGCATAATTTAATTTTTGCGTGACACCCACGCATGTCGGGAATAAATTAAGTCTAAAATGGATAATAAAGTCTGCTTTTTATATTAAAAAAAGGCAAAACCAAAGCTCTTGGCACTGTTTACTTGAATTTTGACAGAGACTTGCACGAAACGCCACTCGCGTGTTGAAATGATATTCAGGTAAAGTGTCATATTTTTTTCCTACATTGAGCAAACTTTCGAAATTTCTGCTTGAAACGGAATAAAAGCAATATTCGCAGACGGCAACTGAAAGTGTTCTCCGGCAGTAAATCACTTTAAAACTTGGAGGCAGACGTGGATCAGAACAGTGAGTTTTGGTGATTTGCATAAAACGCTGATAATATGCAAACAAGGCCGGCATCACTTTCGCTCTCGTGTACACATAGGAATCGAGTCGGAAAAGCGTCGCGTTCTGATAAAACAATATTTTGCCTCCAGTGTAATCCAGGTGGATCATTGTCATGCAAATATATGTGCACCGGCAGCTGTGTGTGAAGCTCTTTTCCGATATTGAAACAAGTGACACTGGTGAATAAAATTTATGGATGAGCTCGCGTCTGTCGCTTGAATTATGAGCTAAAGTTATATCTCTAAAGAGAGGATGAGATGTTTAAGTTGAGAATAGTTTTCCCTGCAGCAATAAAAGAAGAGCGGATATAGAGTTCCATAGTAGATTGAGCACGAAAGGGCGTTAAACTGGATGATTTATTGTAAAATTGCCATAAATTTTGGTTTTACAACTCAATTTAAAATCAGTGCTGTAAACTTTATTGGAGGAAATTTAGATTTGGGGTCATATCACATAAATAATAAAATAAATTCGAGGAGAAGAAAAAAATATTAAAGCTATTAAAATCGTAAAAATAATATAATTCAATGTCTTTGACTATTTTTTGAATTTATTTTTGTAAGTAATTTTGGTTCTTGTGAATCGCGATTTCTTTTAAATTATTCATTGCGTTGAAAATAAGATTTCATTCAAAAATTGTAGAAGTAAATTATATTTTATTAAAAATAACCTGCTTGAAGGGAAAATTAAAATGGAACTTATTTCAAAATTATGTAATTTTTTTTAAAAATGAGAAACAGTCGGAAATATATTCATCAGTCAACTTTTCATCATTTTTTTCAGTTAGACAGTTATGAAAAATGCTCTTAAGTAAAAAATAAAAACAACTATTGGAAAAGAGCTTCAATAAAACTGCTTAGTTGAACTCGTGACTGAGATTTGCATAGAGGGTGCAAAACAAATAAATTAGTGCAAGCATAAAAATAGGTTATTGAAAATCATTTCAAAGCAAACAAGAAAACATGCAGGTTTTGTAATCTTACTGCAAGACTTCTCGTCGGAGCCGTCGGTGCAGTCTGCGTTGTCGTCGCACATCCAGGACAGGGGGATGCACTCGCCGGGGCGGCTGCGACACGTGAACTCCTCGCTGGTGCATTTCTTTACATCTGTTTTGGGTCGGGATAAGGTGAGGGAAAGGTCGGGTGAGGGAGAACAGAGAGAGAAAAGAGCCGCATGAGAACCAGCGAAATGACAGAAGGACACTTACGACAGTCGCGCTCATCGGCGCCATCAATGCAATCCATTTGGCCGTCACAGTGCCACGCTTGGGAGATGCAAATCCCATGGGAGCACTCGAACTGGCCGCGGGCACACTTTCCCGTGCCTGAATTCGGACAATGCGCCAAGTGACGCGCTTAATTTTTGCACGGGAGAATAGGGTCTTGTGGAGGGCGCAAATTGGTCTCGCTTGTTGCTTGAGTAGAAAATTTTGACTCATTTTGAGGACTTTGGAATTTTAATCATATTTTTTTATTTTAATACAGTTGAAATTTTGAATTTTTCTAGGCTAGAATTTACTTATAAAAAAATATTTAAATTTGGAATTATTAAGAACGAAACCTCAGATGTTTGCACATATTTTTGTTTAAATTGAAATGAATAATATATATATATTTGAACCCGACCTCCGGAAATTTTATGTTATTAATATAAAAGCAAGTAATCATAATTATTTTTTTAACGATTAATTTATTTTTATTTTTGCGCCTTTTAAATTAGTTTAGCAGTTCTATGTAGCAGTATTTTCAATTTGTATTAGTCCGCAATTTTAAGTTTAAATTATAATTACATGTACCAATAATAAACCAATCTAGTGGCTGACGTTGTCAAAACATCAATTTTCGGCGAATTCTATTGAGGTTTAGCGTTCTGTACAGAGCAATTATTTGCATCATTCATCACCGCCAGGTTAATTAAAATCAAAACCAACACACAGAGAGACGAACCGCCCATGTAACTCGCGCATATTTGATGATACGCAGCAATCGAATCAAACTAATCCAGGGATGCATAATCAAACCACCGTTATTAACAATTTGGTCGAATCAATCGCAAATCAAATAATTAGACGCTGCTCGCCCAGGCAACCAATTAAAATAATTGCATCGCCGAGGCAGGTTGCGCGACCACATCAATTTCAAATATTGAACAGACAAACCCACCCTTCCACGTAACTAAATAGAGTAGGGCGCACACGCTGCGACAATTGTGTGTCAATTCCATTAATTTAGGCAGGCAAGGCCCACCCCGGGCGCAAACAATGAGCTGCCCGAAATTCTGTGCACTGACCAAACAGGGGGCTTTCAAATGTCGGGAACAATTGCGTCCAAACAATGCGTTGTCAAATGAAAGGTAAACAAATTGCTGAATTTTTAATTTGGTATTATTAAATAACATTTTCCTGAGATTTACAGAGAAGACTTTGAGAACTATGTTTGCATATTTATTTGGTTAAAATTGAAACAATTTATATTTTGTTCCGGTTAATTTTTCTTTAAAAGCAATTAATCATATTTTTTTTTAATTAATTTTTCAACGCTTCAATTTATTTTTATATTAAAAAGATGAATTAAATTTTATTTTCAAAGGATATAAATTGCTATTTAAGTACAGGACATCAGAATCTGTCGATAGCAAATTTTAGCTTGGGGTCGAATTGAGAGATATATAGATGGTAGAAATTCGCCTAACCATAAGAGAGCTCGCGTGGTGAGATAAATTCCGTCCTAGTCGCGTGATTCGTGATCGTGTCTTCGTCGGGCGCCCACAAACGTAAATCTTCGCGACTTTGTCTATTTATTGCTCGGCCGGAATGATAAACGAGACGTGACTTTAGAATTCGTCGACCGAAATAGTGAGGCACCCCGCTTGTTAGATCCCATCTTCATCCGCTCATAAAACGTGTGATTTACGGCGCTTTCCTTCATCCGAATTAAAATAGGAACCTTAAAGCATAAAAACCAAAAAAATACAGCTTTTGATATTGTAAAAGTCGTTGAATTTTGCGGAGATTTTTGTGAGCAAATTTTTCCATTTCACTTAGAAGCACCGCTTCCATCCTGATAGCTTTGAGGGAGAAAAAAGTTCACAACTTCCAGGTTTACTTTTTAACAAAGTTTGATTCGACCGAGGCTTCGGAGGACATTTTATTTGGAAAAGTAAATTGCTTAAAAGTCTCTGGGGCCTGGCAAAATCTACCGACCCCAAGGCAAAGCTTTCGGATGCGTGTGTGCGTCAGTCAGATGCACGTGCTGGCGTCTCGTCTGCTGCCGATAAAAAGAAAAGAGCAACAGCAACCGAGGCACCAAAACCTTTTAAAGATTTGCATAATTTAGTTTGGACTTTTCCGATACAAAAGACGGTCGGGCGGGCGACCGTATTAAGCTGAACCGACGGCGAAGTCTGCGAAAATCTCATAAATAATGTATCAAGTCGCTTGGTCGAAGTTGAACGCAAATACATATATAAAAAGTCAAGGAAATTTCTTAAAGTCGAAGTTGTCATGACAACGAAATTATTCTGCAATGTTAATTTGTATGTAAAACGAATCAATTGAAATTTTGATTAACCTAAACCTGTTTTTTACTTTTAATTGTTGATATGAATTATTTTTTCATGAATTTTAAAACATAAAAACCTATCAGGATTTTTATAAAAAAAAATTGCAGCCATTTTAGCTATTTAATTTTTTCTCCAAGATTTGATCTAGTGAAATACAAATGTCCACGAATTAACACATGAATTAAATTTAACGGTTTTGCAGAGCAAGTTCGCAGATTGGCGAAGACAGTCATCAGGGACGTGAAGCGCTTTCGTGCGTACTCAAGTCGAGACGCGGTCATTAATCCAATTAAAGTGCGACGCAGAAGAGAAATAACATTTGCCCGACGCTCTATTATTATTACTGCTTGCCCTGCAGTACTCGCGAGCATTGGCTAATGATCGAGTGCGTTCAATTTTGCTGATTGCCACGGACTCTTAATAAGTGGGTGCCACTCGAGACTGGAAAATAATAATAATTGCCCGCTTGTGCATTTTCGCGCGCACTTGAAACAACCTCGATTGTCGCAATTTTCTACCAACAAGCAACGCATTTTCATAACGAGGCCAAAACACGTTTACAGGGTTGTTAAAAATTTTAATTGGGATGTTGAAAAATCTGTTGTAATATTGAATTTAATGGGATTTTAATTTTAAAAGTATGACTTGGGATTGTGCGGAAGAAGTCTTAATGAAATCCAGATTCAAAATTTAATAAAAACTTTACAAAATTTTACAGGTCTGTTTTGCAATGCCTGTAGGAATGAATGAAATTCATAAAAAAATCTTTTAAATTTATCTTCTACTAATTTCTACATCCAGATTTCATTAAGACAATTTGGAGCAAAATAATTATATCAAATTAGAAATTTTGTCTTACGGCATTCTTCGGCGTCTTCGTCGCTGTTGTCCTGACAGTCGTTTTCACTGTCGCACTGCCAGTGGTCGGGGATGCAGCGGCCGTTTTTGCATCGGAATTCGGTGCTCGAGCAGGTCTTGTTGTCTGTAGAGAGAAATCACAAAACACGCCATATTTAAACAAAGTCCGAATCTCGCGCTAAAATAGGCATCAAAGGCCGCCAAGATGAAAACCAGTTCCGACTAAAACTTCCATATTATAAAAAGAAGAAAAAAAAACGAGGAAAGCTCACACATGTGTTACATTGTAGCACTTTCTCTATGTAAGTACACGCGTCGCCTTTGCACTCGCCGTGATTACATTTACAATGCATCTGGAGCGGACAAAGAAACTCCATTAGGGCATAATTTCATAAGGTCGTAGCGCAAGGGCGGTTTAATTACCGTTGGCAACTTGGGGACGTCAAGGCACGTGCCGAAATTCGCCTTATAAACGACTCAGTTTAAATTTGGAAGTCAAAGGGCGCTGACAAGATTGATTTCGCGCGCGCATTAATAAAGAAACGCATTATGTTGCTACCATTAATTGGGTCAGAGAATCAGAGAGATAAAAGTTCAATTAAGATAAAGATTGACATGCGTTTAAAATTATTTAATTATATATATCAATGCTCATGAAAAAGGAGCGCAAAGGTCAAAGTAAAGAAAAAATTATGGTGTGGTTATTAAAAACTGTAAAAATAGTTTCATCTCAAAACAAAAAAATCATGAACCGGTGAAAAATGAATTAAATTTTAAAAGGCGGAAACTATTTTACTGAATTATTAATCATAAAATAATTTTAATTTCAATTGAATCAATAAAATTTTATCCTCAGTCATAAATACGAAATTGATTGATTCAGTGTTTTTAATTGATCAATTAAACATACATAAACTCACGTGTAAAGATTTTTATGGGTTTGTAACTGCTTTGCAGAATTATGGGCAGTTTGTTATGTCGCGGGAATTACAAAATAAACACGTCATGAATTGAGCTGATCAAAAATAACATTGGAGTAAACGATGTTGCGAAATGACCAGCGTTTAGTCTCCAAGTGCAAATTGTGCGACTCTGATTAAGTCGTCAGGGCAGAAATAATTGATCTCGGCAATTACGTAAATCAAGAGCATGGAAGTTTCGTCGCAACAAGCAATCATCGCGGCAACCTTACTTCTAATTTCGGACTTTGTTTCCTCGAAAAGTAAACATATGCATGGCTTCAATGATGTTTTTAATTGCACAGAGCAAATCAACCAGGTTACTTTCCTTGAGCGAAGGCAATTTTGCATTTTCGCCTCAAGCCGCGTATTTTCTCTGCGAAAAGTGCAATAAAAATTCGAAATGGTGACCTAGTTGCTGCGTACGGAGCGCGTCGGCCGCGGAAACTCGTTTTGAATTAAAAATTCCGCAAAAAAAAGCGGTCGTGGCAGACTGTGTTTGACCACTTGTTTACAACGACGGCGGCAAAAAGAAAAAACATATAACGACCTCGATAAATTACACGAAATCTGTCTGGAAAAGTGTCATTAGAGGTCAGTAATAATATAGTTGGTGGAACCGGCGAGCGAAATTAACAACAGGACGAGAGCTGAAAAGCAAAACCTACCCCCTGGGGGTGGGAGGAGACCACAATTTTATATCATCCCTGCTGAGATTATTTTTGATGTTGGCAATAAATACCGTTTGATTGGACAATGGTGACTTTCGGAGTGGTTGAAGTGACCGCCACCAGGGTGGTGTTCGGTGTCACAACAATTCTCGCAGGGGTGGTCGTGGTAGTGGGGGTTGTGGCTGTGGTGGCCGCGGGGGTGGTCGTGTTTTCGGCGGCGACCAGCCCGGCAAGGATCGCCAGGAAGAGGAACGCGTGTCGCATTTTGTGCACCAGATATTCCTTTAGTTCTTCAACACTTGCGCGCAAATGAAAAATAAATCAAAGTCGCAGTATTTGCTGGATCAAAGGTTCACGCCAGAGAGGAGAGAGGAGGCTGCTTCTGATACAACGGACGTCAAGCGGCTATCTGACCAGTTTGTGTGTCAGAAACCGAGGCAAAACATTCAAGCGTGTGTGTGTAGTGTATGTTTGTAAACTAATTCGCGTGTTGCGTCAGAAAACGCGATCTGATTGGTCGTGGAGGGGAAATCTCGCGTGTACCTTGAGTACCAAACAAGTGGATAATTCATAAATTGCGACGGATCTTTTTCGGAGAGTGTTATTGCCGGCATAAAAGTTATTATAAGTAAGAGTAAATTTTCTCGGAAGTGTTTACGATCGTTTAATTAGCAGCTTCCTCTTTAAAAGTGTTAGGTAAAAATTTAGATTTATTTAAGGATTTTTTATTTTATTTTAGAAATTAAAATTTCTTCGTTTACGATTATTCAATTTGTAAATAATTAGTTAAGGCGATGGAGTTGGAAAAACTCTGAATTCAAAATCAGAATTTGTATTATTAAAGTATTGGTTTGGTTTTATGAAAGTTTATTTATTTCAAAAACTAATACATTTACATTTATTTTATAGAAAATTCAAATCACGTATAAGAATAATTATAAAAACATGCATTATTTATTATTCATCACTATAATTTGCAATTTTTTTTCTCTTGTTAATTATTATAAGTAAGATGTACTATTTTTGCACAAATTTCCATAATTAAATTTTGACAACTTTCATAATAAATAATATTTTGCTTTAAATTTCCAAATATTTAATTGATTAGACTATTTAAAAAAAAATAACTGCACTTAATATTTTTTTCTTCTTCATTAAAAGTAAATCATATGATTGAGATCAATTAATCGTAAAAGCACTTTCAATGCCAAAGGTTGTTTCCAAGTTCTTGGAATGAAGAAATCGAACACACCCAGGTTATGAAAAAGGAAAGACACTTGCTAATTATCGCCTCCCAACAGCTCCATGTTTGTTGAGCCCGCGAGAAAAATGCGTAGTTAAATTCCTTACTTTGTAACATTTGGCGTTGAATACCGCAATTATCCGCTTGTAAAGAAATGAAGCGATCGTTTAAAAAGTTTACAACGGTTCTCGCCGGCCGTTCAGTGTTTAGCCGCTTTGACGGTTGTTTTAATAAAACTTTCGGGTCCTCCTTCATTTTTCTGCTCCACCTCTTGTTCGACAGCCACTAATAAAAAAGCCACGAAAAAAGTTTTAATCATCCTTTGGTGAGAAACTTCGCCACCAGAGAAAATGGGCGAGATCATTATTGGCGCCGTCATCAAACCATATTACGCCCGGGCCGCCGATGAAAACTTGCAGACCTTCGATTATTTTCAGCGCGGCTTGTAATATAACGTTGAGAAAACACAGCAGCGGCTTCTTTTCGCTTTCGACGATGGGAACTTTTGGACCTGCAGACTGAAAAAGCAATTGCTTTCTTTCAGGCGGAATTATTTTTCTTCCGGGCGAAACTACGGGCAATTAATTTGCCTCAAAAGCGTGTGAATTGAGTTTTGGACGACTGGTTTTAGGCGCGTACATGAAGTCCCGCCGGCAATGTGTTAGAGTGAGGGACGCTTTTATTATTAATTCAGGCAGCGCACTAAAGCCTTTCACTTAAATTGTCATCAATTGGGTCTTTTGCAACTAGTAATTACACCTGCTCCGCACAGGTGAGCACTGGCGCCTGCTGCTGACCCAAGCGACAATTTGTTACTATTAGAGTCAAAATGGCAAGGCAGGCACACCCTATTTGTTCATTTTAGAAGGTAGTTGAACAAGCTAATGAAACTACTAAAGTTTAACTTAAAAAGTTAACAGTTTGAAACAGAAATTAGCTTCGAGAAAAAAATTTTATAAATGGAATAATTTTGACCTTAGCACACCCAAAATAAAGAAAGAAAAGGAACGAAATAGAAAAAAAAGTTGAATTATCAACGAAGTGTCTTTTTTTTAATTAAAACGTAAAATGATTTATATGATTTACACTTTTAAACTTTGAGATTTTTTGATATTTTTTTATGATTGCAGATTAAAATAAATAAAATAGAATGGACTTGCCTTTTCCATTGCATTATATTTTTTATTATGACTTTTTATGTCATTCTTGAGCAAACAAGAAAGTCCTTCGTCCGTGGACCTTGAGTTGAACGCAAAAAACCGAAGCAGGCTGGGTTGATTACGTGAGTTCAAGGCGGGGCGCAGAGGAGCACGTGGCCGGCAATGTTTTGACTGCCGAGGACACAAATCTCTGCTGCGAGACGAAAAGAGGGCAACAGAGTCACGTGGCTGCTCTTTGGTCCATGAATGATAATTGCACGTCTCCGTGCACCGGCAGCGAGTGAGCAACCTTTAGCGCATAATTATCGGTCGCTGACGGGCGCAATTTGCTTCAAAACCTCAAAGATTCCGGCTCGGCAAAGATGATAATATCGAGTTTGCTGCGCATTTCGCGGTGCGAAAGTTTAGTCGTTGGTCTCGGCAACGACTGAGAGAACCGAGAAGCCTCGCGGCTGCAGAGGCCGACATTTAATGAAAGGGTTTGTTGCGGCAAAAGATGGAGTGGGATGGAAAAGAGCAGAGCCAAATCAAATAATTTTAAATATAAACGCAATCTCTGCTTGAGGTTTACACCGAGTACATACTAATTCTTTCAAGTTACTTCCTCAATTAAAATTTCAATTAAGTATTTAAATTTTAAATTCTTATTATTTTTAGGTTTGTGTCAAGGAAGATAGATTTGTAAATAAATAAAATTTAGAAATAGATTGAGAATTTTATTTCATTTTGGACATTTTAAAACAAAAAATTTTATATCTCATTTTAATTTTACAGTACATAAGATATTTTTTTTTTCATTTTTTTTTTCATCAAAACATTTTAAATTTGAAGTAGCGATTTTTCCATCAATTTAGCTGATTGTTGTTAATTTGGTAAAGAGCTGGGAATTTTGTGTTGTTTAACAGAAAACGAATTGTGAGAGTGGGTTGATGTAAAAAGATGCGAATCTGGGTCACTTGGGTCCAAATGGTTGATGGATGTTCTGTGTGCGCGATACACAATGGAGAGCGGGTTGTCCCCACGGAGAAGCGTTAGTCGCACAGATAAGCGAGGCATTCTCTCTCTCTCATCCTTGACCTAAACACCAATAA